CAGGTGCACGTGCGGAAGGAGCACCCCCAGTAACGGGGCTAGTAGGTGCAACGCCCGGGGGAAGCCAGGCCGGGTGCAGGTAGGGGGCCAGGTCGGGGGGCCCCAACCAAGCAGCGCCTTCGCCCACACTCTCCACCTTCCAGGCGACTGGTGGGACAGCAGAGGTCCCCGCCCGGCACCTGGCCCCACAGGAAAGCATCTGCGTGGGCTCTCCAGCTTCTTCCCGGGAGCGCCCCGTGTTGCTAAGCTCTGTCTCTAACCGTGAGAAAGCTTACTCGGGATCATTTCTAGAGGTTCAAGGCCTGGGGAAAACTCTTAGCATCAGCAAATTCCCCAGTTTTCTTTTCTTTTAAAGGATGTTATTTATTTATTCATGAGAGACACACAGAGAGAGGCAGAGGGAGAAGCAGGCCCCATGCAGGAGCCCGACGTGGGACTCGATCCCGGGACCCCAGGATCAGGCCCTGGGCTGGAGGCAGGTGCTCAACCACTGAGCGCCCCCAGGCATCCCTCCCCAGTTTTCTAACCACGTGGGAGCTGCTCTAGGTCTAAGAAACCCGGATCGTGGCAGGACGGCTCCAGGTGGCGACCGAGGCCAGCGGGCCACGCGGTGCACAGCAGGAAGCAGAGCCTGGGCCATGCGCGACTTTCGTGCCAGCTCTGTCTGCAGCCCGGCCGCCCTGCCCACTCCAGAGCCCACAACGGCCACCTCCGAGTGGTGGCGGGCGAACACATCCGTCCCTGGCCCTTGTGGGAGGCTGAGCCACGAAGCATTCCACGCCTCGAGCTGCAGGGATTTGTTCCAGGAGGCGTGTGGCCCTGAGCCGGTGCGAGAGACCATCGGGCTCTGGTACGAATGCTGGGACGAGGATGTGTTCTCCCTTTGGATGCTCTTGGGGGTCAAGGCGAAGCATGTGGGTACAGCCGCCACTTTTCATCCGGGGGTGGAGAAGGGAGGCAGCCTAAAGACCAAGCAGGAGAGCTGGAAGTATGATGACGTGATGACTTCTGCACCCCTGGACCTCACGTCAGATGGTCCGCTAACCCCCCACTCAACCCAGCACTATTGACCTGGGGCTGCATGATTCCTCTTTGTAAGGGAAGGTGCTGTGCCCTGGCGGATGCTCAGCAGCATCCCTGGTCTCTAGACGCCAGATGCCAGGAGCGCCTCCCTACCAGGGCTGATAGTCAAAAATGCCTATCTCTCTGGGATTGGGCTTTTATTTTCCCCCTCTTGTTTTGGAAGTAGAACGGAGCCACCCTGGCCTCCCGGGAGATGTAAGGCATTGACCTCTCTCCCTCCAGCTAGCGAGGTGTGGGAGCTCTGGAGGGGAAGAGAGCCTGAAATGCTCGCCTGGAGTTGGAGCCCATGGAGGTTGGAGGGGCCCGTTGCTGTCCAGTTTCCCTTTCTGTGGCCAAATGTGGGAGCGGTTGAGACTCCACTCATCGGCCCCCATCACACTCATCATAGGAGTAGAAGGCAGGTGGAAGAGAGGTCGTGCAAACCAGAACTGAGGACCAGCCCTGACAATGCCTGGGGGAGGGGGACAGAGACGGCTCTGAGGACGGAAGGCGCGGGGGGGGGGGGGGGGGGGGGAGGTGCACACTGGGGAATCAGCCCACAGCACCCGCCAAACTGAATCCTCAAGAGGCTTCTGTTAAAGCAACGATAAGCCGCTGGTCAGTTGTGTGTGGTCCAGCAAAGACCTTTCCAGATTCAGAGACTCAGTTCAATACAGGGGTTCTTAGCTTTTTTATGCTGCAGATCACTGTGGAAGTCTGGTGAAGCCTTTATACTCCTTGTCTGAATAAGGTCTCTAAATGCATAAAATAAAATTACATGAAACTAATAAGGGAACCAATTATATTGGAAACATTATGAAAATATTTCCAAAACACACTTGTCCCTTAGTAATATGTCTTTTTTACTGTGTTAATTCACCAAAAGACATGTAGAACGATGGTCATAGCAGCACCTACCCTATTAGCCAAAGACTGGAAATAACCCAAATGTCCACCAAGAGTAGAACAGATAAGTGATCCGTGGTGTAATTATACAGTGGAAGACTAAACAGACATGGGATTGGTAAGATATAACTATATGCAACATGGATGGATTAAACAAACATATCAAGTGAAAGAAGCCAGGCACTAAAGGGTGCATACCACAGGATTCCACTCACAGAAAGTTCAAAAAAGCCCACACCAATTAATCCGTGGTGTTGGAAATTAGGATATTGATTACTGTTGGATTAATGACTTGAAGAGGAAATGAGAATGGATTCTGAAACTCTGGAATGTACCATTTCCAGATCTGAGTGCTAGTTACGCCCATCTATTCGCTTTATGACAACTACGCCACATCCATGTGATTCGTGTACCTTATTACGAGCAAAGTGTTTGCAGCTGACCTGTATTCTTTTTCTCCCAGACCTAGGTCCACCCGGGAGGGTTTAAGGTTTGTCTTCTCCCAGCATTTGAATAGCACAGTCCCTTGACTATGTCCCAAGGTCAATCGGGAATGTTGGGTCCCAGGGCCAGGCACGTGTGTTGAACACCGTGAAGATGTCTGATCTGTGAAACGGCACGTGGGCTGGGAGACCTGTGAATTGCAGGCCTGCACGACGGGTGGGAAAGCAAGAGAGAAGCTTCCTTGGTTAAAGATGAACTGCACACACCATCGCCTCGCACCAGCAGTCGTACACACTCTCGCAGGTGAGGAGGGACCCAAGCCTCTAGGCACATGGACAACTGGGTGGCTTCTTTGAATCTGAAGGGTGTGCATGCTCTTTCCTGTCCTGAACCCCTCTAACGAGCTGAGCAAACAGTGCTGGATCAGATGCTATCGTGTCATGTGAGTCAAATGTGTTGCCAGCGCGACAGAGGGACCATGCATTGTACTGATAAAAAGTCTACTAAGGGAAAAAAAAATCCTATGACTGTTCTTGCCAAGTGGGTATTTACACTGAACATAGTTCATGCTTGGCTCCAAATCCTTTCCATTTTTCTGGGCTTCCCCTCTCTCCTTTGACCCCCCTGTCTTCTCTATTTCGTGGCTCTCACTCACAATCAACCCCTAAGCTTCCTGCCCATTTCTTTTTTTTTTCTTTTAAGATTTTATTTATTTATTCATGAGAGACACACACACACACAGAGAGAGAGAGAGAGAGAGAGAGGCAGAGACACAGGCAGAGGGAGAAGAAGGCTCCACGCAGGGAGCCCGACATGGGACTCGATCCCGGGTCTCCAGGATCACGCCCTGGGCCGAAGGCGGCGCTAAACCTCTGAGCCACCCAGGGATCCCTTCCTGCCCATTTCTTATGCAGAGCTGTGTCTTGCACTCTTTCACCCCAAACCATGTAAACTATCCACAGAGAACGCCAGCTGATCAATAACTAATACGAAGATTGGTTGCAAAACATAGTTCCCTCCCAGGAGAAGCTGTGTGAGTGCTTCTTTAAAAAATTTTTTTTCTCATTTCCTCTTTAGTCTTTAAGAGATTTTTGTATTTTGCCAAAGAATGCTGAATGTCTGTCTAGACAAAGACATTCCAAATTCACACATCATCTGGAGCCTCAGTTACGTACATGATGGCTCCAGTTACTCCTGTTTCTTGGTACCTCAAACTTTCTAGAAGTGTTACAACAGAAGGAAGAGAGCTTGCCTACCGCCACCAACGTACGTGCGTGGACTTGCCAGCGGCTGCCACTGACCTTCAGGAGTGACTCATCTCTGGACTCATTCTTGGCCTGTACTTTGTCTCCCTGCATTGCCTTGATGGCAGATGCTCTCTAGTTGACCCTAAGTTTCCAGTGTTTGGGTTCTCCGATTGTCATAGCATTTACCCTCCCCCGGCCTTGGCTTTTGCTGTTTGATAGTCCCATGCCCTCTTGCAATAAACTTCTGCATATCTTACTCGATCTAAGGTCTCAGTCATAGGAGCCTTGTCTCACCTCCCGTAGTCATGAGAGAAAGGGATATGATAGTCTCAGAAACACCACAGGGTCTCGTACAAATATTTCTGAGACCACTACTTGAATTACCAAAAAGCTGAACATTCTCGTGCCTGGTGCTCATTATTTCAGTGTACATTGCCCAAGTACCACTGATAGTCAACGATCTCATTTTTGGAGTGTGGAAATATGACTTAAAAGCCACAACTACTACCGGCCAGCGACTTAGACCATGATGCTGGGTGGATGGCATACAAACACGAGGCCGCCGTTGTGAGACCTTATAGTGAAAACATTTCTACTTTCTGCCACAACCTTCTTCCTCCGGCAATCCTGAAGCACTCTCAACGATAGAGATAAATTTCCAGTCAGTCCTACAAACGATGCATGAGAAGTTAAGATTGAGTTATGACGACTGGGTATTTTATCTTGAATTCAAAACCCTGGACTTCAGAAATAATGGAATGTAGGTGACATTTGGATTTCTCGGTTTTTCTCTCACTTGTTCTTATGGGAAAAAAAACAAGTCATCTTCTAGAAAGTTACTGGACATACTTTCTACAAGAAAAATGAGGTTTCTAAAAAAAAAAAAAGAAAAATGAGGTTTCTTACAAAATCAGACGCATAAATACAGAGAATGAACTGATGGTTTCCATAGGGAAGGGGAGGAAGGGATGGGCAAAAAATAGGTGAAGGGGAGTGGGAGATATAGGCTTCCAGTCTGGGAATAAATAAATCACGAGAATAAAAGGCACAGCATAGAGAACACAGACCATGATATTGTAACAGCATTCGTGGTACAGGGACAGCCGGTAGCTGCACTTGTGCTGAGCACAGCATAACATGGAGAGATGTTGAGTCACTACGTTGTACACCCAAAACTAATATCACATGTGTGTCAACTATACCCAAGAAAATTTTTTAAGAATTTAACTTAAAAAAGAGGACACCTCCAAAATGTAGAACATTTCTTTGCCTAACTGTGCAATAAGCATTCTTTTACACCATGAGAAAAACAAAAGATACACGACAGATGCTTTTTAAAAGGCTTCTGAAATTGTTCACCTCCACGGAACAGATTTTAGACTGAAATTCAGGTTCTGAACCAACCCTGACAATGGATATTACTGCAAATAGAAATGTCACCAGGGCCTGTTCAAAGAACTTTGCCTTCGCAATGCTTAAAACTGGAATGTGGTGGGGGCGCCTGGGTGGCTCAGCCCGCTAAGCGTCCAACTCTCGATCTCAGCTCAGGCCTTGATCTCAGGGTGAGGAGTTCAAGCCCCACGATGGGCTGGCTCCATGCCTACCTAAAAAACAAAAACAAAAACAAAAAACCTGCAATACAAGAAGCTATTTCCAAAGGAATCCGGTATGGGTAAAACTGATTAGTTAAATAACATAGAGAAGATTATAAAAGACAGTTTAAGAATGTTCACATTCATGTGGTTTGTAAAGGTGCATTTTCCATAAGGATCTGTACAGCTCAAAAGCATTATCTTCTGCAGGGGAGGCTCCTTTATTTCAAGAATTAGCTGAATTTCTTTATTTCAGCAAGTCGCTGAAGTAGCGAATATCACTCCTCTTCAAAAAAGAAATGTCCTCAGCCCTGTAATGGGTCAGGTCTTCATTTACCCTCAGGGACTCTCTGGGCTATTGTCACGAAGAGCACTGAAGACTGTGATGGAGCATTTTTCCATTCTTCGCGTATGGGACATGAAGAACATTACAGAAAAATCAGAGTTTAGAAGCCCCTCTCAAACACCTGTGCGGAAAAATTACTGCCAGACTCTTCTTAAGCCTTAAAGTTTGAAAAGTCTGTGATCTCTGCACTGTTTCCAAGAGTCAGCAGCTCTAAAGGAAGGTGTTCACCATCAGTGACCCCACACAGGATTTCCTCTTGTGATAATTTTGCAAGATGATCCTCCGGGTGGGCATTCCATTCAGGTCACCAGGTTTCTGCGATCTCCGTGAGAACCTGCAGTAGCTCAGCAAATGTGGGGCGGCTTTTAGGTTTCTGGAAAAGGGAAACAGAGATGGTCAGCTCAGCCTGAAGCTCACTCAGGAATCAGCTCTGCAATTTGCAGGCAGGGACCTGGATCAGGCTGGTTCTCCACAAAGGGAAGAGGAAGAAACCTGGGCTGACCCATGGGGTGTGATTGGTAGTTGAGTGAAAAATTCTAAGAGCAGAGAGTGCTGCCAAAATAAAATAACTTGAGCTGCAAACCCAAGCCACCTGTGGCCATTTAAATTTAAATTAATGAAAATCACATACATTTTTAAGTTCAGTTTTCAGTCACACTAGGCACTTTTCAAATCTTCAGTAGCCAGGCGTGAGCACCATAATGGATGCCACATTTCCATCATCACAGAACATTCCATTGGACCACACTGCCCTAGGGATCTAGGTGGGTGACTTGATATGCATGGGGTAAAAAGGAAGAGCTGGGAGAGAATGGGCCCCCAGAGTTCCAGGCTCTCAGGCTCTGCCCACTTATTTGCTAGACTTGATCTCCTGTAGAAAGAAGGATTTCGGTCAGAAAGCAAAAGGTGTGTTTTCATAAGGGACTTTGCAGGTCCTGGAGCACACACTGTGCTGTCTTAAAGGCTCAGTCAACAAAATCCCTGGTCACGGAGACGGAGACAAGGTTTGGAACATTTTTCCTATTTCACCATGGGATGTGGTTTGGCTTTGGCTCCATGAGGAAGAAAAGATGACACTGTTGGCATCTTTAAAATCCATGGGAAATAGGGCACCTGGGTGGCTCAGTGGTCGTGATCCCAGAGCCCTGGGATCGAGTCCCACGTGGGGCTCCCCGCAGGGAGCCTGCTTCTTCCTCTGCCTGTGTCTCTCCCTCTCTCTCTCTGTCTCCATTAATAAATAAAACAAGATAAAAAATAAATAAAATCCTCAGGAAATAGAACCACTTTCGTAGCCACATTCTCACAAAGATTACTGGCAGCAGGGTTTGTGGGGAAACACCACCCCCAGTGGTTTATAAACAGAGGGCATCACAGTGAAACGCCGGGACACCTGCACCCTGATGTTCATAGCAGCAATGTCCACAACAGCCAAACTGTGGAAGGAGCCTCGGTGCCCATAGACAGATGTGGTCTATGTGTACAGTGGGATATTCCTCAGCCATTAGAAGCAATACCCACCATTTGCTTCAATGTGGGTGGACCTGGAGGGTATTGTGCTGAGTGAAATAAGTCAATTGGAAAAGAACAAACTTATATGGTTTCATTCGTTTGCGGAATAGAAAAATTAGTGAAAGGGAATAAAGGGAAAGGAGACAAAATGAGTGAAAATATCAATGAGGGTGACAAAGCATGAGCGACACCTAACTCTGGGAAATGAACAAGGAGTGGTGGAAAGGGAGGTGGGTGGGGGGTTGGCACTGGATGACGGGCACTGAGGGGGGCACTTGGCGGGATGAGCACTGGGTGTTATGTTAAATGTTGGCAAGTTGAACTCCAATAAAAAAAATAAAAATAAATAAAAATAAAATAAACCAAAAATAAAAATAAAAAATAAACAGAGGGCATCAATAAAAAGGTCCGAGCAGAAGGGTGTGTAACACATTGGAGTTCTTGAGATGCCAGGAATAATTTCTGGAATTTTTTGAGGAGGCTCACGTTCTGCAGGTAGTAGAGCCTATGAGACACTATGTGTGTATCAGTGTGAGTGTGTGTGTGTGTGTGTGTGAGAGAGAGAGAGAGATAATATAATCACATTTGAATGTAAAGGTGCTTAAGCACCTAGGGTATTTAGATCACCTTCAAAAGTTGTAGGCAAATCACCTTTTGCAAACAAATATATCAGCATAACCAAAAACAATGTTTTAGTCAATGCTCTGACTACAATTTGAGACTCGACATCATTTACTCTACCCTCCTGCCAGCCACCCATTTGCTCCCTTTTCTGTTTCCTCTCCACAGATAAATAAAATCTCAAAAAGTATTGTGTTTTATGCACATGGACATGGATGCTGTTCCACATGCAATATATATTTCTGAGCCACTGCGTTGTTATTGCGGAGAAGCTCTCCCGTTTGCTACTAATGGCTCACTTGACACTTGCCTATGTTTTCCAAGGCCCCTTGCAGAGCAGTTCATCACACGTAAGATATTTTCATACATCAAGGATCTTTATAAGATTAATACTTCTCCGGAATGTGAACAACTACATTGTTCCTGAAATATTGAGGTTTTCAGGGTTCATGGGTTGCGGATCAAGTGACTTCTTTTTCAGCCAGGAGGAAACTCCTCACCCAGGTGTGGGTTTTCTGGACAGATACTGTCAGCTAGAAAGAGAAAGCTGTCAGAAATCACAGAGGAGTCTGATACGAAGGGGAGAGGTGTGTTGAGTCTGCGCCCAGAAAAGACAGGACGCATCTGACTTTATTTTTAAGCTTGGCATTTCAAGAGGAAGAAAAACTAAACAGACACCCTTCCCTCCCCAGAGAGAATTTCCTGAGTACAAGCTCCTGGCACACTTTCTGCCTTTATTCCTAATCTATCAGGAGTCTTGAGTGCCAAAAAAAGAGATGAAACCCATTACTGTTAGCCTTGGGAAAGCAAGACAAACTACAGAGGAGTCAAGTAAATAAAAACAACACCTTTCTCTTTCAATGTGGAAGTTTACCAAACCTGATTCTACCCTTAGTGTCCACCCACCAGTTTTCAAGGGGAGTAAAACATCTCATCACTGAGGCTCCACTAACATCAAGAGTTTCCGCAAGAGCCAGTCTCAGAAAAATAAGACTTGAAAAATGTGCTGGAAAAAAAAAAAAAAAAGAAAGAAAAAAAAAAAAGAAAAATGTGCTGAATTCCTCAGATGAAAGGAAAACAAAATGGGTTCATGACTTTGTAGTGCGAGTGTCAGATAGAAATAGCACTTCTGACCCTTAGCGGTCACTCTTCAGAAACAGACCCCTTTTCCTGCCGTGATGGAGACGTGGGGTCACGTTTGACCCTCAGGTCTGTTCTCAGTTGCTGGGACTGCCAACCTACCCAGGAAAGTAGGGGACACTCACCTCATGCCAGCAGCTGTACATGACTTCATATATGGACATTGGCGCCAGTTGAGGACGGTAGAGCCTGAAGCCTTTGGAAATGGCTTCCACAACTTGCAGATTCGACTTATTTTCAAACGGCATTTTTCCTTCTGTAAAAACTTCCCACATCAAAACTCCTACACACGAAATGCATGCAAACAAGAGGTTGCTTGAAAGAACGGTTTCAAACCACAAGGCCTTATTTTCCTCTTCCAGCCTTTGAATTATAATCATCCAGAATGAGAGCAGCTCTATCTAGGAATCAGACCATGTGCGTCTCCATTTGCGAACAGGCCTGACATCTGAAAATACTCCAAGTGAAAACAAGGCCTTTCTTTTCCAGGCCTTAACTGCCTCCCCATCGAAAGAAAATGCTGCCAGTGTTTTCATTTCTAAGTATGTTCATGTCTTCGCACCCTGAGATCAACAAGCCTCTCTTCCATCCCATAGAAAATGACTGAATTGTGCGAGCCTCTGATGCCTGCCCAGGCCAAGAGTTTACCAGCCAGTAGATGGCAAGTGTTCCCCTCTTCCCACTGAAAGGTTAGACAGCTGGGTAGAGCAGACTATCTAGCAGGAGCTCAGGACCCACGAAGGTGTTCTAAAATCACTGATAGGTTGATTAGTGAGACTTCCTCAAACTCCCATTTGGACTTCATTTCATTATTCACTTATTCTAAGATGTATTACATATTGATTAGAGGTCAAGCATATGCCAGAGCCAGAAGATTCTAAGAAAGAGGCCGATCCCTGTGCTCAGGAAGCTCACTGTCCAGAGAGAGACAGAGACAAGTGGTCGGATAAAACTCAGAAATTCTAAATTGTTCTGCAACCACTTGATGAGGTCCCTGTGTTGCTACATGTTAGTCTGATTTAACTGCTCTCCTGTAGAACTTAAAAATCTCACCTGTCAAAACCACCAAAAGGCAGGGGAGAGCTAAAGGGATCAATAATACACACTTAACCTTATGTGGACAATAAAAAATATTCACGCCCTTTTGAGGGTGCAGAGCTCTCTCCAAACCAAAGAAGCCATCCAGGGAGGTCTGGGCTAAAGAGAATAGATAGCTTATTGAACATTTACTGCCACCTTTTTGAAAATCAATTCAAAGAACGAACTCCACTGGAGATAGGTCTACAACATCTCTTTCTCAGTGAAGAACATTACACAATATAAACTCCAACTGACAGTTCCCAAGGAGGCCGACAACTAAATTCCACAAAATTTAAAGGTAATGAAGCAAATGCAGTTGGTGTTGCTTAGTAGTTAGAAATGAAGTTTATTAATGACATGTGAAATTCAGTGACACCTTAAGATCTATTTTCCTTGCAAGTCTCTGTGGTATAAAAAAGGTGGCTGCACCTTTTGCTAGATCAGTAGACTCTATGTTATGGCTTTACTGCCATACGTAGGTTCTTTGGGAAAGGTAAGATCCAAAAGGCAGACTTATATAAGAAGGTGTCTGACACCAGTTGCCAAAGACAGCCTGGGTATGTTTAGAACACCTTAGACAGTTACATGAAGACCTTTCTAGAATGCCACATCATGCTAAAAAAATCAAAGCTTAAAAGAGATTGGCCTTTTCTTAAATCAATCTCCAACAAATGAACATCAAATTTACTCACCAAATGACCAGACATCAGATTTGCTGCTGTACTTGTTGAAATGGAAAACTTCAGGAGGGGACCACTTGATTGGGAACTTGGCTCCAGAAGAACTGATATATTCATCATCCAAAACGTACCTAAGGTCATGAGATTCAAAGCACATTGTGCTAATTCCATCCAAATTCTACTTCATTCCAACTCCCTTCATCTACTATAAGTTCTAAAAGAGAAAGCAGGGGATGCCTGGGTGGCATCTGCCTTTGGCTCAGGACGTGATCCTGGAGTTCCAGGATCGACTCCCGCTTCGGGCTCCCACATGGAACCTGCTTCTCCCTCTGCCTATGTCTCTGCCTCTCTCTGTGTCTCTCATGAATAAATAAATAAAATCTTTAAAAACAAAATAAAAGAGAAAGCAGGGTTCCCGGGTGACGCTATTGGTGAAGTGGTCAGCTCTTTTGACTTTGGCTCAGGTCATGGTCTCCGGGTCATGGGATCAAGCCCCCTGTCGGGCTCCATGCTCAGTAAGGGAGTTAGCTTGAGGATTCTCTCTTCTTCTCCCTCTGTTCCTCCCCAACTCACTCAATCTCTCTCTCTCTCTTTCTCTCTCTCTCTCTCAAATAAACTCTCAAATAAATAAATGAATCTTTAAAACAGAAAGCATTTTTACCCCTGAAAATTTCTCTTCTTGTTACCAAAATGGGAAAATATCCTATATAGTGATTCCTCCCCAAACCAAGCCTCATTTGGGTTTATATGAGTCTCAGAAAACTAGAACAATTCTTCAATCCAAAATCAATTTGAGTCAAGAACCCACTGGTTATGTTAGTTTACAAATTCTTAATTCTGCAAGGAGAATGCTGAGTAGTCTAACAACCAATGTCATAAAAAGTACATAAAAGATAAATATATATGGCAAGGAATAAAGTCAAAGTTGGATGCATATGTGTTTTTTTCTTCATGCATATGTGTTTTATCAGGCAGAGAAATGAGAGTATTGAACATAATACATTTAATGTGAAAAATGTTCAATGCATTACCATGGCCCTATATGAAATCAGGAATAACTACCACCTCCTTTTAAAAACTACAACAATATTAAACCTCTCTCTTTTGAGAATTGTAGGCAGGAACATCAAGTATGAGAATCTAGAGAGAAGAGAGCCTGGAGTGGGCAGTCTGGTATTTTTGAATTATTTATTAGTGCTTCCTCACACCCTCTTTTTTTTTCCCACATCCCCTACCTCACACCACCTTTAAGCGCTTTATTGAGCCAGAAGCCATCCTACTAAGGAGGAAAAGTAAGTCATAGAAAACAAAAGGGAAAGAACTATTTTTCATAGCTTCTGAGTTTCAAAAGTCTAGGCTTTCCAGAGAAAGAGGAGGATGGAGCTGTTAATAAACTATTTGGGAGAATGGCTCATAAAATAAGAGTAATATCACCCCCACACACACACTCCTAACCACCACCATTCATCTCCCTAGAAAATGACCTTTGGAGCTGGGAGGTGGGAGAGGATAAAGGAAAGGTGGAGGAGTGTTAGACACCTGTGGGTGGCTGCGGCAGGGTCCTATATAGTCTTCACTCTACCAGCACTGCCCGGCTAGCATAGCAGGCAAAGAAGGCCCCACTACAAGTTGCTGGGATTTAAGAGCAAAACAGAGCCTATGCCTCTTCCCCAGGTCAAGCCCCTGGAAAGGCAAAAAAAGATTCCAGAAAACAAATAGCTGCAGATGTGCCTAAGGCAACAGGGCCTTGGATATCTCCAGGTGTTTTCTTAATCATGGAGAATGCCAGTGTAACAGCATCTTGCAGACAGAAATTGGAGATGAGTCAGCAGCCATCTATGCAGATGTTCAGCCAAGGACAAACAGGAAGATGGTGCCCGCAGGCTACCAGTTGTCAATGGGTAACAACAAGGACCAGACATGCCATCTCCAGTACGTGGCCCCATTAGACATACAGAATCTGAATTTGACCCTAAAATGAGAGTCTAAAATGAGTCAGAGAGAAACCCTGGGTTCACGGGCACTGAATTTTTAGCAGCCTGAAGGAAAGGGCATTGCATTGAGTTGCAGAGAATGAGGTTAGATTCTCCACACTTGAGTTGTCATCTTAAAGTCAACTGTTACCCTTGATAACAGAGTATGAAGATGACATAGAACAATCAGAGCTAAACCAACTTATTTTTTTATCTCTTAGAAATACACACATGTCAGAAAAGCTTTTCTCCTCAATCTTATGCATATGATGAGTAGATCAAGACATTTCTAAAAATGTTATGACTGAGAATGACCTTTTGAAAGAAGATAAGAGTTGTCTCAAGTGTCCATTTGCCTCACAGCTAACATGGGTTTGTGTCAAATACAAAGCAGGGCAACACACCAAGCAACCACATCAACATTTTCCTCACAGGATTAAAAAGAAAAGGAAAAAGAAAGAAAAAGCAATGCTATCAACATCTTAAATCTGTTAGGAGACAGATCTAAGATTCCCTCTTATGAGTAAACAAGAAATATTTATATATTATACCTCGTCATTCCAAAGTCCGATATTTTTACTATACTTGCAGCACTGACCAGACAATTCCTTGCTGCCTATAAAAAAAGAGAGAGAGAGAGAGAAGAATCCATATTTGAATATAGTTTTCTTTCAAGAGTTTCTACTCTCCTTTTCCTCAGTTTACCTGGACCCCCACACTACTTCTCTGTGTGAGCAGACATGTTTCCTTGGTAATACCCATCATGCTATATATGATCAATATATCTGCCCTCATGATGGATTGTATTGATTCTTCAAAGAAATAACAAAAAAAAGTAAAAAGCAATTTTAATACTTTTCCTTTTAAAAGTTTTTTAAACCCTCTCAAGAAGTATCTTTGATAAATTGGAAGACTACAGCAAAGAGATGTTAAACTATGAATCCTGAAATTTAAAAGTGTGCATTTTTAAATAATGCAGAGACCATGTATTTGATGCCAAAATAATCCATTTTCAGAGACCTTCGTCAAAGAAAATCATTGATTTGGTTATTAAGCCCTATGTAAGCCAATAGTTTTATAGATTCTGTTCTCTTCTAAGGTGATATGTGCTTCAGTTAGTCCAAAAACAAAAGCAAAGAACTTAAAAATGGTAAGCCAGGAGTCAGTTCAGAAGATTTTGACAAATGCTAGCAAGGATTTCAAAACCAAACCAAGAGCTAAGCCCTTGACAGGGGGAAGGCTCATGCTTAGCTGATATATTTTAAATGGCATGAAGGTGGATAAAATAGAACACAAAAGAAAGCAATCAAGGAAGAAACCAAGGGTAGGAGGATCTGAGAGGAGCCACTTGGAACAAATAGAATGACCAGAATTATCACTCAACTAGGTTTTGAATTCTAATCCCTGTCAGGAAATACTGACCTGCAGGGACCAGGAAAGTAAGCTAGGTGGGATTGATGCCACATTCATCCATTCAAAAATGTGTTCGATAGGTACTACATGCTGGAGACTGGGAAATGTGCCTTGACGGATACAGAACAATGGTCTCAACAACTGTGGAGTGGTCTCAATGGCTGTGGAATGGTCTCAATGGCTGTGGAACGGTCTCAATGGGTGTGGAATGGTCTCAACAGCTGTGGAATGGTCTCAATGGTTGTGGAATGGCTATTGCTGTGAAATACAAACTATTACTATTCCATAGCAATAGTTAGCATTGCTGAGCTCTTCCATATGCCAGGTACAATTGTAAGCACTTACACATGTTAATTCATGTGATCCTCCCAACAAGTCCACAGGAGGAAGGTGCTGTAATTGGTACCACTGTACTAGTTAGCGAGCTTGCCCAACATCCCACAGCTAGTAAGAAACAAAGGCAAGATTTCAACCCAGCCAGTCTACCTCTAGAGCAGTGGTTCTGAGTCGTGGCTGCCTATTGAACTCGCCAGGGCATTTGGGCTAAGACAAGCCTTATTTTTTTTTTTTTCTTAGGATGTAACGTCCTGAGCATTTCAGAACACAATGATTTAACATTTCCAGTCCTCCTCAGGAATGCCAGGAATGCTGCTGTGATACTATTGCAACCAAATCACCTCCACATGAAAGTATTTTCATCCCTGGATGGGAGCCAGTAGAGCTATCCTTTACTCCTGTCATCTCCAGCTCCTGGCAAGAGTGCTTGGCATGTACTGACATTCAATACATATTCGATTATTGTTTGAAAGGAAGAAAAGTAGAAGTTAATGAAAGAAGAGAGGGAAGGTAAGAGGAAAGAAAAGTAAATTAGTTTTGGTTAGTTGGTTATCATAGTAGTTAATTAGTTCAAGGCATATTTAGGGTAATACCTTATTTGGCCACAGCATCAATGGGCAATTAAAAATAAAGCTACATTTCCCACAGAATCACATGAATAGGAAAGTGTTCAGAAATTAAGCCAAAGAGGGGTGCCTGGATGACTCGGTTGGTTAAGTGTGTGCCTTTGGCTCAGGTCATGGTCCTGGTGTCCTGGTATCCAGTCTCTGCATGGATGGAGCCCCCATCAGGTTCCCTGCTCAGTGGGGAGCCTGCTTCTCCCTCCTGTCCTCGTCCCTCCCCTATTGTGTTCTCTCTCTCTCTTTCTCAAAGAAATAAAAATCTTTTAAAAAATTAAGCCAAAGATATTTTATTTTAAACACTGAAAGTCCTCAACTGTCATATTCCTCTGAATATAATGCATAAAATAATCAGCAAATTTGTATCATACTTACTAAATCCCTATGAATAAAGCAGTTCCTCTCCAGATACTCCATCCCTTCACAGATATCCTGGCACATGCTCAGCAGCATCTCCCTCGTAAGCGTTCCCCTCCGGTCTCTGAGATAGTTCAGCAGGCAGCCGTTCTCCATAAACTCCGTCACAATGTACAGGGGCTTCTGCTGTATGCACACCCCATAGAGCTGGACTAGCCTTGAATGAGATAATTTCCTGTGGAGGAAAAAAACACACCAGTGAGCAGGTTGGCTTTTCTGCACTTTCAAGTGCTCAGACTCAATGGGTGATATTCACCAACTCTATGTAATTTTCGACATCAAGATATGATAAAAATTAACCCAACCACAGAGAAAGTAGGACCGTTTCCTTTCCACTGTAGGCGCTGAACAAGCGGGGTCACAGAGTTCAAGCAGTAGTTCCCAAGTCACTGCAGATAAAGAATATTACGTGCTCCGTATTCTATTTTTTTCTGTTTGTCATCCTTGTAAGTCTTTTGCTTCCTTATTGTGACTTCTTGCTCAGGTCTTAACAGAGCTCCTGCTCCTTGAGTTTCAACTTTCCTAACTGCAGCTGCTCAGACCAAAATTCAGGACAGATTGAAGGGAGGAAACTGTGATTGGTGTATGAAGGAAAGGAAAGGAAAGGAAAGGAAAGGAAAGGAAAGGAAAGGAAAGGAAAGGAAAGGAAAGGAAGGAAGAAATGAAAATTAAATTCTAAAAAATAAAGGCATTAAAAAAGAAATATTTAGATAAAGTTGGAGACTGAAAAACACTAGCCAACTTGAAACCCTGCTTTATATTTAGCAATCACACACACACACACACGTCCTTGAATATTGTCTATTAAAATACACATGGAACCTTTAGTCATCTAAACTTCCAAAGTTTATTGTTCCTTCTGAAGTATAGCATTCAGTCCCTAAAGGCCTGTTATGCCAACTAGGCATCATGGAAAACAATATTCAAGTTAGTGTTTGTAATTTTTGAAGATGTATAATAAGCCAATTTCTGTTAGTCAAAAGTAACTTGAAATGTCACCTCTTTTCATTCATAGAGGCAAAATAAAATCAATGACTCAGATTATTTACCTTAAAATAATGTATATGAGTGATCAACTGACATGTTACCATATAGTTAGCATGCAAAAATGCTACCAGTTTGTGGGAAAGAGGCATTCAGAGAATCTATACATGATTTTAATCTGTAGATATATATCTTGTGTATTTTATCTGATTTATCTCTCTAGTGCATAAAGATATTTTATAAATTCGAAATTTATAAAGAAAAATTTATTTTCAGTTAAGAGAGACAATTCATATGTATACAGAATAATGGCAGGGAAATCACTCTTAACATAGAATATTGATTTGCCATGAGAAAACCATAACACTGATACCCACGTATAAACATCTGAGAACTGAAACATTACACTGTGTTTGCTTAGCAGTATCACCGGAGTAGTGACAAGGACGGCGAAGGAACTAACAAGTACAGTGAAGGTAAGACAGTGTGATCCAGTTGGGTATTCTTGGCAGATGGAGCTCAGTGTGTGTCAGCTAGGTAATTTTGTAAAGATGAATGGATTTGCAACAGGGAGTTAGAAGGAAATCCTTCTGCCTCACTTTCAAAAAAAAAAAATCAGCAAAAACTAGACTGTGTTCAAACCCAAGAACACAGTACGTCTATCTGAACTGATTTAAAAATAAGCCATTAGCTTCACTCTTGCCTCTGTAAACATCCAGGAGCCACTGATACTTCCACACTCTGCACGTCTTCCACCATCCTCAAAATATCATCCCTGGAAAACTGTGCCCCCAAATGCCCAATAAGGCTTGATCCTTTCAGGAATCCTCTCACCGTAACATCAGACATCTCCAATTCTTTTTTGTTTCATAGAAATTCCAGTATGGCTTCAACTTTCCCTGAAGCACGTTCTTATAACACCTATCTAATCAACACAGGAATATAATGATTTGTCTCTCCTTTAGATGTAGGAAAACTAGGGTCTGATGCAGGTGGTATCAAGGAATATAGGCCGGGGGCCACCTAACGGCACGAGATCATCTTTGGGAAACCGATATCACTGGAAAATTGTGTTTAGCATAACTTCCCTTGAAGCTCATTTTGTTGTGACTGGAAAGGGTATTTTAATAGGACATTTGGGGTACAGGTTGAGAGTCCCAAGAGATAGCATTGCTCTGCTGTTAAAGGAGAATGGGTCCAGTTAATCCCTTCTAGTTTTGGGGTTGTCTGTTTGTTGGTTTGCTTGTTCAGTTGACATCTGTATTTTTAGAACAGAACTAAATTTATTTGGATAACAGAATCTAGGTAATGCCATCTGGGGTTTTCATTTTTCACCACATTGCTGCTCCTTTAAGTGTTGAACAAATACTTAAAGAAATTTGATGGCTTTGATCTGTACCAAATTGTTGGCTTGTCCTGATCCAGCCCGGATTATAGACATACACCACGGCCACATATTCAGCTGAGTCGAAATGTTGATCTGGGAAATTACAGAAGTCATCCCATAGGAACGGCGTCCAAAGGGCCACAGAAGTGACTGTTAGAACTCAGGATTCTTAAATTTTCTGAAAGCAAATGCTTTATCTTTATATCACTATTTGGACAAAATCAACATTTTTGCTTCCAGGAAAAGCCAAAGAAGAAGGAGGAGGAAGAGGAGGAGGGGGAGAAGGAGAGGAAGAGGAAGGGAAAGGGGAACAAGAAGGGGAAGAAGGGGGAGGGGAAGAAGGGAAGGGGAAGAGGGGGAAGGAGAAGGGAAAGGGGAAGAAGGACAAGGACAAGGACAAGGCAAAGGAAGGAAAGAGCCCTGAAAAGAACACGCATGCTTGTCACTTTCGTGAATTATCTCATTTAATTCACACACTGATGCAGTGACAAGGTTACCATTATCTCCATTTTGCAGGTAAAGAAATCGAGGCTTGGCAAGGTGAAATAACTCACCCAGGTCACGCAGAGGTCATATAATTTGCCCAGGTCACACCACTAGCTTGGACAGAGTTGTGACAGAAATCCAAGTGTGACTGCCCCAAAATCCATGTTCTTTCCATGATACCCCAATGTTGTCTGCTATTTATCTGGGTATTGCTTATACTTACATCATCACTTTAGCCTCTTCGATGAAATCCTCCTCGGACATGGAGCCTTCACTGATGGCCTTGATAGCTACCTGGATGTGCGCTCGCCATTCGCCTAAATGGACCACCCCAAACTGACCGCTTCCAATCTCCTTTACAAAAGCCAACTCAGTGGGATCTATCTCCCACTTTTCTAGAAAAGTAAAACATCCATGTTACAAAGTAGGGAAAACTTTTAGAGCTAGAACAGATTCAGGAATTATCTAGACCTAAAAAAAAAAAAAAAGGAATTATCTAGACCTACTCTCTTCTTTTATACAGAGGTTAAAATTTTTATAAATGTAAAGGGGGGGAACTGTAACCATTTTCAACACTCTCATGGTGGAATTCCGTGTGCAATTCCAGAATTCAGGTTTAAAGATACAAACTCGACTTGCTTGGAGAGGAAATTATGGATATCAGAACATCCTTGCTCTTTCCAGAGAGACCCCACATGAAAGGCCTTTCGAAACTAAACCTACCTACCAGGACTAGACCTGGCCCCTTCCGTCTGTATGTCCCCATCGGTTTTTGTCCTGCCAAGTAAACTTGTGAGGCAGGAACATAAGGCCCCGCTTCCGCATTTCACTTCCTTCTATGCTCCTCTGCCCATTCCCACCCCTAAGGGGCTTTTCTTGCCTTAGTAGGGTCTTCTCCCTGGGGAAAAGTCTAACAAATTCATCTAATAACTATGTCCAATGCTAGGGTTCTAACTCGTATGTATCTAAGTGTACGTTTGAACTGAAATTTGTGTTATGGTATATATTTCACTTCCCTGGAAGCCAAATGAGGGGAAAAGAACTTTTTAAAATAACCCTCTTGGAAACACTTGTGAAGGAGCCTGATCCTCCCTCTTATATATAGTATGTCCTTTTCTACAGCAACACTGCCATCTGCTGGAAATTTAAATAATGCGTTTAAAAGAATTGGGACGCCTGGGGGTCTCAGGGGTGGAGTGCCTGCCTTGGGTTCAGGGTGTGACCCCTAGGGTCCAGGAATCGATTCCCGCATCAGGCTCCCCCTGGGGTGCCTGTTTCTCCTTCTGCCTATGTCTCTGCCTCTCTCTGTGTGTCTCTCATGAATAAATAAAATCTCAAAAAATAAATAAATAAATAAATAAATAAATAAATAAATAAATAAATAAATAAATAAATAAATAACGAAGGTTAATGACCTTCAAGCCAGCTTTGCAAAGGGCTCCCTCTCCCAATAATAGGTATGTTTTTAAAGCAACATGGGAAAATATATTCATGAATTTGATATTGGCATAAATTTATTCAGCAGAATACAACCATAAAGGAAAATATTGACAAGTGACGCTCCATCAAAATCCTGTTTGTCAAATATGCCCCATTAAGAGAGGGGAAAGGTAAGCTGCAGATTGGGCAAAGATATTTCTGAAACATGTAACCAGTAAAGCATTCCTATTCAAAATATGAAAAAAAAACTAGAAAAGGGCAGATTATATTTTTAAGGGTTGCAAAACGTGAATATTCTTTCACAAAAGAGAATATCCAAATAGCCACAAAACCTATAAAAAGTTGATCATAATTATTAGTCACCAGGGATATGCAAATTCCAAACACAGAGAGATACCACTATTACACACATCGGATTGTCTAAAGTGAAAACCAAAGAAAAGAACCCATGAGAATATTAAATATTGGCCAAGGCAAAGGCATGGGGCAGCGGGAACTCCCACATGCTATTGATTGAAGTGTGATTTGGTATAAGCTTTTTTGAAAACTAACTAAATCTGAGTGTGTACGCACTCTGTGACCTAACAATTCTACTCTCAGGTGTGTATCCAGCATTCCTGGAGCTTAAACGTGTACTGAACTTCATCAAAAGACATGTAGGAATGTCCATAATGATATTAATTATGAGGTAAAAATTGGTTACAACCCAAATGACCACCTAACGAAGGATGGGTAAACGGTGGCATTGTCAGGCAGTGTCGCACTACACCACAGTGGAGATGAACCAACCACACCAACAACCATGGGTGAAGCAGAAAAAGCCAGATACAAATGCATGCTGTCTTATTCATTTCTATTAAATAGTCAAGACCAGGCAAAACTAACTGAGTTGCGGGGTTATGAGTTGTACACCATTCTACATGTTAAAAATTGAGATGTTTATTTTTAAAAAATTTGAACAGGACCACGTGTAACTTAAATAAATTGTTAATGGCAGAATTTTATTATCCACATTGTCTTTAGGGGCAGAGGAATAACCCAGGACCCATGATATCCTGAATCATTCTCCCATTCCAATTAAAATAGAGCCCCTGGGGTCCTGGTTACCTGTTACACAACATAACTATGTTATCATTTTCTCAGAATTTTCTGATTCTCATTAATGAGAGAAATTTAAGGGAATCGGGTGTCATCAAATCACAAAACAGAATTCCTTGGCTCTTATTTGTTCTCACAGTTTGCAGGTATACATCTGCTAGAAGATAGTTCGGATTAAACCTTCTACAAGTTCTATTTTCAAAAGGAGAGGACGACACTTTTAGCAGCTCTTTAAAGCAGGTTCTCTTGGAGGGTGGTCATTTCCCAGCCACCTTTGTACCGGGAGAGCAACAGCTCAAACACCCAAATAAAAATGAACTAGGGGTGGTGGAAGGGGAGGAGGGCGGGGGGTGGGGGTGAATGGGTGACGGGCAGTGAGGGGGGCACTTGACGGGATGACACTGGGTGTTATTCTGTATGTTGGCAAATTGAACACCAATAAAAAATAAATTTATTATTTAAAAAAAAAGAATCCTAATTTATCAAGAGCTCCTGCTAAGGAACAAAGGGTAGTGGATGGGGAGGTGGGCAGGGGGATGGGATGACTGGGTGGCAGGCACTGAGGGGGGCACTTGACGGGATGAGCACTGGGTGTTATACTATATGTTGGTAAATTGAACTCCAAATAAAAATATATATTTAAAAAAAGAGCTCCTGCTAATGTGTAAGGAAATTTGAAGTCAAATTGAAACATTTCTTTCCAAAGTTGAAATTGCTGTTGTGAGATGAATATACTTAAGTATTTCAGAAGGAGGATTTAAACTTTGAGAGGAAACCTGTCTAGGCATCTCAGAAAAGTGAAGGAGTTAAAGAATGTAGAGGGAACTTGGGACAGGTTCTTTACTGGATTTGACATTGTACTTGGGTACGTGTGCATACATTACCATAGCTAAAACCAGCTGTGGCTGGCAAACAGCTGCCCATCAGTCCAACTGGGTAGCGGAGACGGGTCATGAGACCTGGGGAGGGAGAGAAATCAGCATTTCAAGTCTACTAACTAACATAAAAGAAAAAAACCAAATATACTAGAAGACAGTGCCAGGTTTCAAATAAATTAGGCGGAAAAATATTCTACAGTATTCTATTTACCTATTTTCCCCACTTAGCATAAAGCAACATTTGCTTATTGGACATACATTTTAAAATCCAAGAAAATTTAAAGACAAAGTAAAGGCCTCACAAAATCTCAGCAGCCAGAGATGCGCTGTTATCATTTTGGTGAACACCTTTGCAAAAATCTCTATATAAGTGTTTGAAAGCATATACACACCCAATAAGCTTTCACAGAAAAGTAAATGTTTTGCTGTAAACTTTTTACACTCAGTATGTCATTGATATATGTTAGTGACTATCAATAGAGCTTTAAGTTATTTCTAAGATTTCACTACTGTAAAATATGCTGTATGTTCTTGAACATAAATCTTTATGTACCTCTCAAATTACTCTCTCAGAATAAATTCCTTAAAATGTGATTTCTTGAGCAAAGCATGTATAGAAAAATTGTACTAATTCATTCAACCACCAACAGTGTTTAAGTGTACTCATTTCATTACCCTACTTTTTGAGAGTAGTTTTGTTTAGTTTTGCTTTATTTTGTTTTATTTATTTTTTTAATAGCGTGGTAGTGGGATGCCTGGGTGGCTCAGCATTTGAGGGTCTGCCTTCAGCTCAGGTGATGATCCCGGAGTCCCAGGATCGAGTCCCACATCGGGCTCCCTGCAGGGAGCCTGCTTCTCCCTCTGCCTGTGTCTCTGCCTCTCTCTGTGTGTCTCACGTGAATAAAAATAAAATAAAATAAATAGAATGGTAGAGTAAATGAGACTTCTTTTGATCGGATCAACATGTAGTATTTTGTTACATCAATTTCAATTTAGTTCAACAAGCTTTTATTATTTATTTCTTCAACTAATGTTGATTGGGGGTCCGCTTTGTGCCAAGCACTATCTAGATGGTGGGAGACAGCAATGAAGCAGTGAATAGGACAGTGACGGTCCCTGCTCCCATAGAGCTTACATTGTAGCAGGGAAGAGAAAATAAGTGCACACACACATACACACACACACACACACACACACAAGAAGAAATAGAAGATGATGAGTTGCAAGCAGAGTAGATAAAATATAGCTTCCAGAGAGTGGGTGCTCAGGGAAGGCCTTTCGGACAAGATGACAGCTCTGCAGACATTAACTGACAAGGAGCCATCCTACAAAGGTCAGGAGGAAGAGCATTCTGAGCAGATGGAACAGCAAGTGCAAAGGCTGGAAGACAGAAGCAAACTTGGCCAGTATAAGAACAGAAAGAGGCATCATTAAGTGCCTATTGTGTGCAAGCTACTCTTCTAGGTAGATCTCAAATATTCAGAAGGACCAAAGATGAATAAGGTGAGGACTCTGCACACAGGGGCTCCATCTCAGTGAGGGAAGACAGGCAGAGAAAGGCAACTGCAATATAGAAGGAATAAGTCCTGTGCTGGAGATACACAAGATGCTCCAGGACATAGCACCTTACACACTTTTGGATTCAAAGTAGTCTTCTAGAAGGAAATGATATCCGAGACGAATGTGACAAATGAAGTTAAGCCCTGAAGAGAATCTATGGAAAACACTCTAAGCAGAGGTAACAGATGAGATGATACCTAGAGGTAGGAAGCAGGATGGGCTATTTAAGCAAAAGGTGAGAGATAGAAGAGGCCAGAAATTATCCTTGAGAAGTAGGTCATATTCTGGTTACGATAGGCCTTCTAAGCCATGTTAGGGAACATTACACCATCCTGCAGGTAAGAAGGAGCCATTGAAAGTCCCCAATATGGGAGTGACATCATCAGATTTACACTTTTGGTAGATCATTCTGGCATCAGTGTAGAGGATGGATTGAAGGGAAGTCAACACTGAAGATAAGACCAGTTAAGAGGCCATTACAGTTGTCCAAATGAACAATGATTAGAGCAGCACTAGGAGACAGAGGCAGGAACCTATATGAGGCATACTTGGGATATGAAACTCTTTGCACTTGATAATGAATCAGAAGTTCTAGACCAAATAGTACTAAAATTTGTCTGGAATCACAAAAGGGCCTGAATAACCAAAGCAATCTTGAGAGAGAAAAACAAAGCTGAGGTATCACACTCCCTGATTTCCAATTATATTACAAAGCTATAGTAATTAAAACAGTATGACATTGGCACAGCAACGGATTGATAGATCAATGGAACAGAATAGGAAGTCCAGAAACAAACCCAAGCTTATAGGATCAATTAATCTTTGATAAAGAAGGCAAACACCTACAATGGGGAAAAGATAGTCTCTTCAATAAATGATGTTGGGAAAACTGGACAACTATATGCCAAAGAATTAAAGTAGACCACTTTTTTACACCATGTACACATACACACAAAATGGATTCAAGATTTAAATGTAAGACCAAAAAACCTCAAACCCCTAGAAGAAAACATAGGTAGTAAGTCCTTGGACATCAGTCTAAGCAATATTTTTTTCATCTGTCTCATCAGGCAAGGTCAACAAAAGCAAAAATAGACAAACGGGACTATATCAAACTAAAATGCTTTTGCACAGTGAAGAAAGCTCCCAATAAAACAAAAGGAAACCTACTTGAATGGGAGAAGATATTGGCGAATGCTATGACCAAAAAGGGGTAAATACCCAAAATACATAAATAATTCATACAACTCAATATAAAAAAATTTGAGTTTTTAAAATGGGCAGAGGACCCAAAGAGACATTTCCCCAAAGAAGATATACAGATGGTCAACAGACACATGAAAAGCTGCTCAGCATCACTAATCATCCAATACACAATGAGATCTCACCTCACACCTATCAGAATGGCTAATATCAAGCGGACAAAAATTAACAAGTATTGACAAGGATGCAGAGCAAAGAGAACCCTCCCCACTGTTGGTGGGAATGCAAAATGGTGTGGCCACCATGGAAAACAGGGTGGAGGTTCCTCAAAAAAATAAAAATAAAACTACCATACAATCCAGGAATTCCACTTCTGGGTATTTCTCACCAAAAAAAAAAAAAGTTTGAAAAAAAAAACACACTAATTTGAAAAGACATATGCACCCCTATGTTCATTGCCGCATTATTTAAGCAGCCAAAACACAGAAGCAAACTAAGTGTCCACTGATAGACGAAGGGATAAAGAAAATGTGGCGGGAATAATAAAATATTCTTCAGCCATAAGAAAGAATAAAGTCTTGCCGTTTACAACAACGTGGGTGGATCTGGAGGGTATTATACTAAGTGAAAAAATCTGGGAAAGAAAGACAAATACTTTATGAATTCACTTATATGTGGAATCAAAAAAAAAATGAAGCAAGCAACCAAAACAAAACTGAAACTTACTCGTAGAAGCAGAACAGTCTGATGGTTCCTGAAGTGAGGGGGTTAGGGGGTGGTAGGATGGGCAAGATAGGGAAAAGGGTTTAAAAGGGACACACCTTTTAGTAGGACATACAATTTTCTTGTAGGAGATACAACGTATAGCATAGGGAACATAGATAATAATCTGTAACGGCTTTGTACGGCAAGAGATGGTAGCTAGAGTTCTCCTGGTGACCCCTCTGTGACGTATATACATGTTCAATCACTATGTTATAGACCTGAATGTACCACTGTATGGCAACCACACTTCAATTTAAAAAAAAAAGTTTTCTAATAACTAAAGAAGGAGGAGAAGGAGGAGGGCAAGGGGAAGAGCAGGAAAGGAAGGGAGGTGAAGGGTGGGGAAGGGCGGGAGAGGCGAGGGGGCAGAGGAGGGGAAAGACATTATCCTTTAGGGACAGTGGAATTGTCTCTTGTGACTCCTATGTTTCCAGCCCCTGCAGCCAGCAGGATGGTGACACTCTTATCTGAGATGGGCAACAGGAAGAGGAGCGAGCAGGCTGGGAGGGAAAGCAGCGGTTAGGATGAAGAATTCCATTTCATCGCTGCGGTTCAGGGCCTGTGGGACTGCAAGTGCCTGGGACTCCCAGATGGAAGAGTCCTGCAAAGGGAAATGTCTAGGGCGAGGAGAGAAGAGATCGGGGACAGATCCCTGCAGCATGCCAACGTCTAAGAGTAGAAGTGAGGCCCATTGGGAAGAACTTCGAGGAATGATTTGAGTTCAAGAACAAGAAAAGGCAGTGTCAAAACATCTGAAAAGCAGGGAGCTTCAAGGGGTGACCCTGCAAATAGAGCAGAGAGGGCTGAAAATACAAGAACTCAAAAGCATCACCCCGTAGGTCAATTCGGGGGCCACCCGTAATACAGTGGGCGACGGAGGCAGAAGCCAGAGTGCAGACGTTTAAAAAGCAAATGGAAAATGAGCAAGTGGAGACAGGGGATGTGGACACATTTTTCCAAATGTGTCACTTGGAAGAACAATGTCTAAAGGAAGAAAGGAGGGCTTTGTGGGTTTGTTGGGGTTTTTTGTTGTTGCTGTTGTTGTTTGTTGTTTGTTTTGTTTTGTTTTTTGGCTTTTCTAATAAGAAAGTCTTAAGCATGTTTACAGGGTAAAGGGAGAAGGTAAGAAGAAATGGACAAGCTACAGGAGAGAAAGGGTGGTGGGTGGTCTCAGCAGGAGAGGAGTGGAGGGAGCAGGGGCCAAGGCTCGTCCTGGCTACTACTGGAAGGAGGGAGGTGAGGCTGAGAGCTTGGCAGTGGGAAGACAAGGTCGAGGGAGCTCATGTCAGGTGACTTCAAATTTCTTAATAAGGTGGATGCCAAGGGGTTTGCTGATAGGGACAGTGGACAACACTGGAAATGGGGTCTTGAGGAGAATGGTGAATGTCTGAAGAGAGAATAGGAAAAGCTACTTCACTAGTGACTCTGAAGACTTAGCTGAGGTTAAAGCCCTCATCGAGTTGGGATCCTATAATGCAGGATCCGAACGAAGAACAAAATGAGGAATTTCTTTAAGACCCTGATACTTTCTTCTAATTTTCCAAGTTCTTGTTTGCTCAACATTTTTATTCTGTGATTCTCTACCAGTGGTTTAATGAGAGTCTATCTCTCTGACAGAAGGAAGCCTGTCACCCTCTTGGCATTGTCCTTACTTCCGGGAAAGAGATGGATTGTCATGAGCTAAATAGACCAGAAGTCAAAAAGTAGACAGGATAGTCATGGGCTCTGATTCACAGCCTCCTGAAACTGGATCCCAAGTACCATCTACTGATAGGACGTGTCTCTTTCTGGAGGCTACAGCAGCCATTGAGTGCAGACTGGAGCCAGTGGGTTCAATGACTCCAATGGTCTCAAAGAGTCCTTGAGTTCCAATCTCAGCACAAACACTTTTTAACTGTGTAACCAATCATGCCTCAGTTTCTTCATCTGTAAGATGGAAATACCAACAGCACCTACTTCATAGGATCATTCTGAAGATTAAATAAATAAATAGACATAAAAGCACTCAGAGCAGGGTCTGGCCCAAAGTAAGTCTTCACTAAGCATCCACTAGTTTGGGGTCCCATTCCTTTCCTCTTATCATCTTCCCTTCTCATTTTCTTCTATCTTTTTTTATTTTCTTTTCTCCCTAATAAAGAGCAATTAGAGTTGGAAGGTTTTCTTCTGTTGTTGTTGTTTTGTTTTATCCAGCTTTTTCTTTTCTTCTTTTTTTTTTGTATATAATAACCTCACACTGTCTTCTTCTTTTTTTTTTTTTAGATTTTATTTATTTATTGGACAGAGAAAGAGAGAACACCTGCAGAGGGAGGAGAAGCAGCTGAGCAAGGAGAACCAATGCAGGGCTCAATCCCATGACCCTGGGAGATGCTTAACCAACTGAGCCACCCAGATACCCCTGATCCAGTTTTTTTTTTAAGTGATCTATATGGTATTTTATACATTATAAGAATAATCATGTATGCTGTAACAAAAAATATCAAACCCTAAAGCAATCTTATAAGGCAGAAAATATAATCTTCCCTTACCCCAGTGTCATCCCCCAGAGGTAAACAGTAAGTTTGTAGTATGCTATAATTTGATTAGTTTGAAAATTATTACCTATACTTTAAACAAAATTTCTCTACACACACGTGTGTATTTTTGTTTATAAAAGTGGGACTATATTCTGAGATATTGCTTTGCACTTTTTTCTCTTTACTGAACAACTTATCATTACCATCTTCTCATGTCAGCACATCTTGATCTACGTTAGTAATTTTTTTTAACCACACTAGCATAACCACTCTGTTTCTCATTTTTTTTTCTTTGAAGGGAAGGAAAAGAGGACTGTAGAGAAAAAAAATTCAGGACTGATCTGATTCTATTTCTATCTCTAGACACAAATATGTCCTCTCTAGCCCCACTCAGACTCACTGCTACTTCCTCTCTAACCAACCTCCCAGTGACCATCTGGAATATCTATTCAGATTCATCCCATAAATGTAGAAAAACTTCCTTTGATTTACTCTTGATATTTAGAACCTGTGTAGTGGAAAAGTGGCCACTTTCCAAAAGGATTTTTTTGTAAACAACTTTTCATGAGAGAAATCTAAAAAAGTATTGTATGGCAAAGTCAAAATAATATGAAAAGTTACAGTAGGTTCCAAATTCTATAATGTTGCAGTTAGAAGATTCCCCGATGGCTTCAAAGTGGTCGAGGGCTGAGTGAGGTTGAGTGAGGGCTGAAGGCTAAAGCTGTGAGGGTCATTGTGGTGAAACTTTCTAGAATCCTAGATCTTTCCATAGATGATACGTTTGCAAAATTATTGCTAAAGTATTGCAAACACTTGGGGAAGAGGTCAAATGATGATGCCTCTGCTTTATTTAAGTCAAATTCTGACTGTGAAAGGCTGTGTCCTCTACAACTTTTTGTGTTCACCAAACAAGAAAGAACAGAGAAGGAGATATTTAAGGGTAATTTTCCATAAAATTGAAGTAGAGAGCAAATTTTGGGGGGCAAAGAGAAGGAGGCATGATTATTTAGGACACTTGAAATTCCATTACACTTCACCCTACATAAATGTCAGACTAATGCATTGATGATTGCATTGCCTTTTGCTTCTCTGCCAGCTATCATTTTTCTAACCTGACAGAAATGTAAAAAATCAACCTACCTCTTGTCCCCTGACTAGAAAAACAAAGAAGCATCAATGAGGAGACCTGTTCAGATCACAAGTTGTATTTCAGGCTCTTAGGCATTTCTGCAGGGGGTGGGGTATTTGCTCCTGTTCAGTGTCTGACACCAAAGATGCATTGCCTGTCTGGGGCCTGGCTCCCTGCCTCTCTTCACCTGAAGCTCCTGACTTACCTGCCGCATTGTGCTGGTGATACCAGATTAGCTCAGGGATTGATGGAAAGAGGTGTCTTTCAGCCACGTACCACTGTCCCAACTCATTCTTTTTAATCTGATAATGTTTGATGGTAGCCTCCATATTTCTACAATCAATAAAATGTGAATTAGTAAACAAGCAAAAGATCACTTTGGAACTAAGTCAATTCGTTGAGCAATAGGATTCCACCTTTAAAACTTTTTATTCCAGTGACACTACACACTGCAGAGTGGGTTAGATTCAACTGGTGCCTCACAGCCCCTGAGTAAATTCCTTAGTTATCTTATTGGGTCCATAGATTTGAACATAACTTCAGCCAAACTTGTCTAGCTGACAATTCCAGTGTCCAAAAATGTAGAGCCCATTATGGACACATATAAGCATTTGAAGAATGCCAATATCAGTTCAGTGAGTGAATAAATGCAACCCAAGGGGTGTAAGGAGATATCAAACAAAGAGGAAAACTGATAGAGGGTATATGGATGAGCAGGTTTGCTATGAGCTACCAGGGCTCTAGGAAGACACAAGAGACTGTGGAACACATCTGAGAATTGTCCCACTAAAGTGCAAAGGAGCTGAGGAGGGGACCTTCCATTTCTCATTGATGGAGAGCTGCTCCTAGGGTGCTCTCAGGCACTCCCAGTCTACCCAGGGGGACCATGAGTTCCCACAGCCAGAGAACATCCTCCAGCAGAAAGGCACAGAAGCTTCCTGAGTGCAGGAGAACTCTCTGCAGGAAAACCCCAAGGTAAGCCAAGGAATGTGAGGAAAGCACCGCCACTGTCTACAACTAAGCCAACTTCCTCATGGTTAGGAAAAGGAGATGGCTAAGTCACTGCCCACACACAGAGCTGGTTAGGGATACAACTTGAGAGGATCAGATGTACTAACTTCCAGGCCAGCAACCTTCCATGCTAAGATCTCTCTTTCTCTACATGATGGTGTCTCCGTAAGAAGGACTGTCCCAAGGAGTGTTACCTCTAAAGTGATCAAAATCATAATTGCTTACCTTCTAGCTTTTATAAACACAGAAATTGTGTAGGATCCCAAATGTCTTGAATCTCTGACAATAAATGCACCTTCTTTAGACTGCAAAACAATTCATTGTACACATTTATTCCTTATTAGGAAGAAAGACAAATCTACATCTCAGGAATGAAAACCAAACCGTTACTAACTTACTATATGTGAATGAGACTGTTTTCACAAATATAGGCAATCTTATCTCCCTTATACATTAAGAAGTCCCACCTCTAAAAATACATAATTGGGACAAGAATTTGTAATATATGAGTATTTTTAAAACCTCGTTCCTGGGAAGCCTGGGTGGTTCAGCAGTTGAGCGCCTGACTTTGGCTCAGGGCCTGATCCTGGATTCCCGGGATCAAGTCCCACATTGGGCTCTCTGCATGGAGCCTGCTTCTCCCTCTGCCTGTGTCTCTACCTCTCTTTCTGTGTCTCTCATGAATAAATAAATGAAACCTAATAAATAAATAAATAAATAAAACCTCGTTCTTGATTTTTCTAACAATAATCTGCATTTTACAATCATGTACCCCACCATTTATTTTGGTTATTTTTAATTTTTAAATATTTTTTAAATTTATTCACGAGACACAGAAAGAGAGGCTGAGACACAGGCAGAGGGAGAAGCAGGCTTCCCACAGGGAACCCAATGTGGGACTCGATCCTGGGACCCCAGGTCACACCCTGAGCCAAAGGCAGATGCTAAACCACTGAGCCACCCAGGCATCCCCATTATTTTTGTTATATTGAGCAAGATAATAGATAAACATAGCTAATGAATAGGAAGCACTCTGAGACAGATTGGCAGGTTGTATTGTGGAAGAAAAACAACACAGAAGGTAGAGTGAGGGAGGCAAGGAGAAACATATCTGGAAAAGCAGGAAGTGGGGAAAGTGAGCAGAATCCATGCTAGGGATGGAGAGAGAAGCTTTGAGAAAGTTTGGAGAGAAGAGCGTTGGGAATCATCTTAGTTTCTCCAGAGTATAGGAGAGACAGGCAGAGAATTGCAGGACAGAAGAATATTATATGTTTGGTGTTAGGTTATGAGTTGGATTCCCACTGACATCCTCTGGGAAATTCCAAGAAAGCTGTGGATTGTTTTCAAAGGACGTTGAATGTTTGGTTTGTGTTAGTTGTTGATACTGTAAGAAGTTTTCATCTTTACTGAATATGTTTACACTTGTGGAGAGTGAAACACCTCAAAAGCTTGCCGAATGTGTGAAAGTTTACACTTAAGAAGTGCCAAGAAGTTAAGAACTGTCCAAACCAAACACCATGATGTGACCCTTAAAATGAACACCATACATTAAGCAGAGTCTTCTCTTTCTTCTAGATGTTCACCAAGGAACAAGCCTCATTTTCAAACCAAACTTTTAAGCCAAAAAAACCTCTTATAACCATTTAAAATAATAAAAATCTAGCTTTTATTGAATTCCTACCATGCACAAGGATTGTGTTACATACCATAGAGAACACAAGATGTAAAAGATGTAAAATACTAAGATATATAAAGCAAAGTTTTATGTACAGTACATAGTATGTAGTGTATATACATAGACACATATGCATCATGCATTTAGTCAAGTTGTATAAGTAGTGACCTCCTCTTCAAAGTGGAAAAAGTACAAATAGTCATGATCACAAAGCAATAAAAATGGAAATTAATAACAATCCCCAAAGGAGAAAGCTACTACTACCTGTATATTTTTAAGTTCTCTTTTATATAATTCAAGGAAATTCAAATAAAAATGAAAACATCTAGAAAATAATAAGGAAATGCCATATATTGGAAACTCTGCTATTCAGTCTTATTACTTGCATCAATAAACAAAGGAGATGCAAAGTAAATGTATCTACCTCAAGAAGTTAGGACAAGAACCAAGTCAAGTAGAAGAAAGAAATGAAAAAAGACAAAAGCAAAATAACAAATTATAAATACAAAAATATAATAGAGCTGGTAATTAAAATCAAAATCTTGTTATAAAGAGAAAACAAGGAAATAGGTAAATTGCTGACCAATCTAACCAATAGATAATGTGGCTTCAAAAAGTAAGCGACAAGGATCCAGAGAAAAAATGAAAGCATCACCTTGACTCTACACATTTGAAAACTTGAAAGAAATGAGTGATTAAGTAACAAAACATAAATTTTATCAAAATTGATTCCAGAAGATCTAGAAATGTAAATGGATCTACTACATGGGAAAATGGATATGGTTTTAAAGAGCTACAACATTAAAAACACCACAGAGACATACTGTAATGTTGCATAATTCCAGAGCATGTGAAATAAAGAGAAGCTTCTAAATTTTTACATAAAGTGGGTTTAATATCAATACCAACAACACAGCAAAGATTGTGCACAAAACGGAAATCTACTAATAAGTCTCATGTCTGTTCAAAAATCCTAACTAAAGGGGAACCCTGGGTGGCGCAGCGGTTTGGCACCTGCCTTTGGCCAAGGGTGCGATCCTGGAGACCCTGGATCGAATCCCATGTCGGGCCCCCGGTGCATGGAGCCTGCTTCTCCCTCTGCCTGTGTCTCTGCCTCTCTCTCTCTCTGTGACTATCATAAATAAATAAAAAATTTAAAAAAAAATTTTAAAAAAGTCCTAACTAAATATTAACAAACTGAATCCAGTAGCACAGTGGAAAAACAATATACTATGACCAAAAGGGATTGCAAACAAGAATGCAAGAGTAACTCAATATTAGGGATTTTATTATTAGAATTCCTTCTATTAATTGATCTGAGGAGAAAAATCCCATGAACATCACATAGACCTTGTAAAGGCATTTGAAAAATTTCAACTTCTAGAATCAGTTTTCTTTACATTCTCAGTAAAATAGTAATATATACGTGCTTCCTTAACACAACAGCCCTAATTTACATTTAGTCCCCAAGTCCAGCATTATGCTCTCTGTGGGCACCATCCCAACTAAAATCAGGAAAAAAAATGCCCACTGCCAGCAGTGGTATTTAATACTGTTCTGAGATACCAGTGCATGCAATTAAATGAGAGGCAAAAAAATAAAAGAAAGAAAGAAAAAAACACACCAAGAAATATTGTATTAAATTGTAAAAAAAAAAAAAAGCAGTTGAAATCATACTGTTTGCTGTTGATAAAATTCTACCTGAAACCCATGAGAATCAACTGAAAGACTACTAAAAAAAACTGTGAGTTCAAAGTCATCAATTACAAAATTAATTCACAGAACTCAAGAGCTTTCATAAGTAAAAAAAGATATACCCATTTATAATAGCAACAACAACAAAATATGTTAAAATAAACTTACAAATAAATGTGCAAGAGCTATACGAAGAAAGTTATAAAATGCTCCTAACAGGGCACCGGGGTGGCACAATCAGTTGGGTGAACACTTGGTTTCAGCTCAAGTCATGATCTCAGAGACTTGAGATCAAGCCCCGTGCTGGGCTCCATGCTCCTCCCAGAGTCTGCTTAGAGTTCTTCTCTTCCTCTCTTTCTGCTCCTCCTGCTCCTCACCTACCACATGCTCTCTCTCAAATAAATAAATAAATCTTAATAAATAAAGTGCTCCTAAAAGATACAAAGATATTTGTGTTTCTCATTAGGTTTTCAATCCATCCAAGATTTATTTTTGCTTGAAGCAGGGACCTAATTTTAATTTTTTCCATATAAATAATTAATATATGGGTTCCAGAACAAATTGGTCCCAAAACCCCACTGATTTTTTAATGTCCAAACAATTTCCCCTAGGTTATTCTGTAAATCTAATGGACCAGCGAGAAGCTTTTTAAAACTAGGCAAAGTAATTGTGAGATCTGCATGTATAAAGTATATCTCCAGAGTATTTCTGAAAAATAAGAGTGAGGGAGGCTAGCTGTACAAAAGAAGCCTCGGTATTTGAAATATTATAAAGGCATCACCAAAATGCACGAGCTGATTAATGAAACCAAGTAGTGAGGCCAGATGTAGTCCAACATGGGAGCTGCATTTATGATGAAAGGGGCACCTCAAATCAAATATGGAAAACATAGACACTTGGTAACCATCTAGAAAAACAATAAATCAGATCCATACCTCACTCTGCATCATGAATAATTACAAATGAATCAAATATGTATATGTAAAAAATAAAACCACTAAAGTAATAAAAAAAATAGGAATTTTTCTTTCATCAGCTCAGGATGGGTAAGACAATTCTAACCTGACACAAACCCTAAAGGTTTACAAAAATTTGTATGATAAATTCAAACATATAAAACTCAAGCACTATTCACAGCAAAAAAATAAAATAATAAATAATAATAAATAAAATAAAATAAAATAATATATATGACAATTGAAAAACTGGGAAGAGTATTGCCACATATCACAAAGAGCTAACGTCCTTAATGTCACTATGTAGTCCTACAAATTGTGAGGAAAGCATTTAAACAGAAAATTTGCAAAGGATATGAATAGACAGCTTACAGAAAAGGAGATACAAATATATAAAATTTCCTATGCACAGAGATGCTTAGCACTCCTGCGATAAGAGATGTAAACGAAACCCACACTGAGGCGAGATGTCAGAGAGCAAAGTGCCACGCGTTTCATTTAATACTTGCTGGACAGGTTGTGAGGAAATGAGCTCTCTTACACTTTTAGGAGGGTTGTAAATTGTACAACTTCTATAGATGGCATTTTAACACCTATCAAAATTAGAAATGTACATTCCCTTCCACCCAGAATATCTACCTTGGGGAATTTATCCTACATATATACTAACATAAATGGGAAAAGCTGTGTAGATAGGTTACTGATGGCAGCACTGTTTTAAAAGCAAAAGAGTATATACCATATAAATTCCCATGAAATTTCTTTTTTAAAAAGATTTTATTTATTCTAGAGAGAGACAGAGAGAGAGCACAAGAGGTGGGAGGGGACGAAGAGGAGGGTGAGAGAATCCCAAGCAGCCTCCGGGCCAAGTGCGGAGTCCCACACAGGCGATCCCAAGACCCCATGATTAAAACTAGTTGGAAACCAAGAGTCCAACACTCAATGACTGAGCCACCCAAGCCCCTGTCCATTAAATTTCTTAAATAAATTGTGATATGTCCAAAGTAAGAAATACTATGCAGATGTAGACTGAATAAGGACACTTTCTGTGTACTGACATGAAAAGTTTCCTTTCCAATACATATTGCTAAATGAAAAAAGTAATGCACACAAGAATATATATAATATGTTACCATTTGTGTAAAAATAATGATATAAGAAAATATATTTCTATTTGTGTGTGTAGTAAGCATCTCTGAAAGGGCACAAAATAAACTAATAATAGAAGTTTGTCTCTGGGGAAAGGAATTGGTGTCTTGGGGACAAGGATGGAAAAAAGCTCCAAAATTTTTTGATTTTTAAACTCTATGAACATACTGTTGAAATATGAATTGAGGGCAGCCTGGGTGGCTCAGCAGTTTAAGCGCCTGCCTTCAGCCAGGGCGTTTTCCTGGAATCCTGGGATCGAGTCCCACATCGGGCTCCCTGCATAGAGCCTGCTTCTCCCTCTGCCCGTGTCTCTGCCTCTCTCTCTCTCTCTCTCTCTCTCTCTGTGTGTGTGTCTATCATGAATAAATAAATAAAATCTTAAAAAAAGAAATATGAATTGAATAAAATTATAAGATACTTCTATAAAAATTAATGCAATAAATTTGAAAATAACTATAAAGTAGGTAATTCTTCATGTAAATTATTGAACATCTCAAGAAGAGAAGAAAATTAAATCAGTAGTCAAATATCTATTTGAAAAAGCAGCACATCCATACTATTTTATGAGAGATATATATTACTTCAAGGAGCAAATAAATTCTATTCAATATAAACTATTTTAAAGATTGGAAAAAGAGACAAAACTTCATGTCAAAAACAAAAAACAAAAAACTTCATGTCCCAACTCATTTTACGATGCTAATATAGCCTTTATACTAAAACTAAACAAAGAGTGTAGGAAATTAGAAGCCAGGCCTCCTTGTGAGCATAATAGGACAAATGCTAAATAAAATATTAGAAAACTCAAACTAGCAATATATATGTTTTAAATGCCTCATGACCAAGTAGGGTTCAATCCAGATATTTCTTAAGAAATAGAAAAAAGTAGAAAATATATAAATTACAAAAATATGTGAAGATATATACAGGAAAAATATGTATATTTTTAAAAATCCCAACACGTAACATACATACATACACACTTTAGACAGATTAAGACCTAAATATGAAAAGTAAATCTTTAACCATTTAAAATAAAATATAAACTTCCTTCATTACTTCAGGAGAGAGAAGAATTTATTATACTAAAAGAGGAAAAAAAGAGAGATCACAAAAATTGAGACATTTGACATTAACGTATTTCAAAATTTAAAATAAGAGCAGAAAAAAAAATTTAGGGCCAAAACTCAGAAGAATATCCTGGTAGCATGTAACTGACAAAAGATTCAGGATATACTTTAAAAATACATATTAACCAGTTACAAAGGCAAACACGCTGTAGAAGATTAAGCAAAGGGTGTCAGCAGAGGAAGCCCGACGGCCAACACTCATATGCGAGGTCACTCGACTGAATGAAGTAAGTCAATCTGAGAAGGACAAACAGTGTATGTTCTCATTCATTTTGGGAATATAAACAATAGTGAAAGGAAATATAAGGGAAGGGAGAAGAAATGTGTGGGAAATATCAGAAAGGGAGACAGAACATGAAGACTCCTAACTCTGGGAAACGAACTAGGGGTGGTGGAAGGGGAGGAGGGCAGGGGGTGGGGGTGAATGGGTGACGGGCACTGAGGGGGGACACTTGACGGGATGAGCACTGGGTGTTATTCTGTATGTTGGTAAATTGAACACCAATAAAAAATAAATTTATTATTAAAAATAATAATAATAAAATAACATTAGAATCCTGAAAAAAAAAATGAAAGGCAATTGTTTCTAGTTTTTGGCTGCAACAAATAAAGCTGCTACCTATGTAAAAAAAAAAAAAAAAAGCTTTCCTTAATCAAGGAAAATGCACATTTTTATATATTTTTATAAATATATAAAATATATTTACAGCGTCTCAGAGAATCAAAGAAAAGTATGAAGCTACCAACAGTTGGCAGGAGAGTAGGGGACCAGTCTTCCCTTTCCTTGTATGAGTACAAATTAGCACAAGTACTTTGAATCACAATTTCAAAATATCTAGTAATGTCAGATCTGCGCGTAGTTTCCGACCAGGTCATTTCTGGGCCTAAGCAGAAGAAATCCTGGCCCCTGTGTACAAGAGGACGTGTGCAAGAACGTTCTCTGCAGCGTTGCTCGTAAGGCAAAGCGGTGAGCAACAATTCGAATGTTTATCAACCAGACCCGGTTTACTCCTGTAATCAAGCACAGCAGCTAAAGCAATGGGTTGGCTCCAGGTGTATCCATGGCAATTAAATGGAAGTACAATGCTTCATTCAAAATCGACACACCAAAAAAATAAAGAAAAAGAAATCGACACACCTATGATCGACCTCATGTCAGAGGTTAAAACACGTAACCCGGTAGGTGGCTCACGCACCTCTGCATGAGAAAAGTATAAGCACCTGGCCATCTCACCTGTCCCTAGCTTGCTCACCAGGCACCTAGTGGAGAACTTTCCTTCTCTAGCTCTGCCTCCTTGGCACAACCTCTTTGTCCGTTCCAGGCCTACTAGCGTCACTTTACAGAAGGCCACCTGCTGGCACCATGCCAGGCGGGCCCACCTTTCCTCCCAGGCAGGTGAGACCGGCTCTGGGTCCCCCTGACTCCGTGTGACCAACCTACTTGCCGCGCACTGACCTCCTCCGGTGTCTTGAGCCGTTACTGGCATTGACTTCTTAGCTACAGAAGCGATTCTCACTCATATTTCTAGATTTCCTCAACATCCGACGGCAGTGCAAAATGACACACATACGTCTTACCTAGTTTCTAGGTTTGACTCTATGTTTACCCACAGATCATATTTACCGGCCGTTGGAAACTGTATGCAGTTTTGTTTTGTTCTGACCTAAAAGAGCAGTTTTGATCTGAGTTTGATATGCTGGCTACCCTCCTGTTCCTTTGGTTTCCAAAGAACAAAGAAAGCGCAGCCCTGGGCTTGGGTCTGTATCTGTGTCCCTTAGCCCAGGTCATGAAGACAGAGTGCAGACTGTATGGTCTGTGATGCAAGGTGCACGGGCCGGTCCCCCGCTGACTCGACTGCAAAGTGCACTTTGGGGGCACGGGGAGTTTCGGTAGGTTGGATCTGAAACCGGTTCAGGAAAAGCGCGCCTCTGAAGTTACAATGAAAGTCAGTGAAAAACACGATCTGATACTAATACATCTGGTTTATAACTTCTCGGAAAATGTGCGGTACAGAGAAAGTTGTGATCGTATTTTAGGACTGAAAAGAACAGGAAGTAATAAACCTTTTCAGTTTGGTCGTATCTTTACAATGCATATCTCTGGGAAATTTCGAAAATACACGCAGGATATTCGTGAACAAACTGAATTACCTCTTGTCTCAAAACACGTTCTGCTTGATTTCTGGTAATGTTTCTGTGGTACCACCTGCGAAAGCCGTAAAAAGTCATTTTAAAAATTTATATTCCATTTTTTTCCCCAAGAAAAAAAAAAACCCTTGCTTTCATTTCCTTCATTTGTAAGAACTTTACTCCAGAACTGATTTCAGAAAGTTTAGTGTTTTTTAATTCTGATAGACAACAAATGGATTATTCTGTGTCATTAATTCTGCATAATACAGTTTAATTAACTATAAGCCCAATACCTGATTTATTCTATCATATCTGAATTCAACTTTCTGACACACACTTAGCATATGATTTGGAGTGGTTTGATCCCCTAAAAATTTTCATAAAAGGTATGTGGTTAAGAAGTCATCATCTTCAAAAAAAAAAGAATTCATCATCTTCAATAAAAATTTACCGAGCTTTGGTAGACAAACCAAAAATGGGTAAAAATTGGGTTAAAAATGGGTAAAAAATACCCATTTCTTTCTTTGCTCTCAGGAATTTCCTATCTGCATGCTTTTATATGTGCTGTGTTACCTTTCCAAAATTAAAACCCACTCTGACCCATCTAACTCCCCCAAGAATGTCACCTTGTAGTAAAGTTAGTGGTTTAATAACTAGCATACACCTTGCTCCCAACACCCTCTTATCCTTCTGCTTGTTTATCCCTCGTTGCTAAGCTCCAGCCACACTGGAGTTTTCCTTCCTCAAATTCACCGAGCCCCTTTCTGCCTCCTCTCTTGCTGTTTCCTCTGCAGGAAACGTATCATTAAATGACTTCAGAATATCAGAACCACGTATGCTAAACATAATTAAATGAGTATAATTGAAAACTATAGTTTGGTCGGACAAGATCTAGTCAGTAAGCAAATATCGTACAGGAAAGAGAGAGGAAATGATAGAACAAAGGGGACAGAAGACAAATGGAAAAGCTTTCATTTCAAAATAAGATTTTAAAAAGGAGTTAATGTAATATTACCAGAAATGCTATTCTTGTGAACAGTGAAAGGAAAAATGCATATATAACCATACGTTGAGGTCACAGTGGGTAGGCCAGAGAGCGGCTACATGAAACTCCTATATCTGCCTCTGAGGATGGAATCTATCATATCTTGTGGACTTCGCCTTCAGTAGTAAAAGGCTGCCACTAAATTAGAATGGTCAGGTATTAAAAACACTAATGGCCTCAAGTTAAAAATGAACTTTTAAAAAGATAAGCATAGAGGATGATTACAGGTGATTCTAGATGAAGTCATTGGACTACCCATCACTTGGTGGGAACAGGACTTAATTGTGATGTTGGACTGTGAATATCAGTATTTTTTAATGAATGTTCACATTGAGGGAGGGACTTTCAGAATGAGTCTGAGACCTCTTGTAGAAAGAAGAAATTCTTTCAAAATAAATGAGACAGTTAAAGACATGGGTTACTAGTTTATTTATTTATTTTTAAGATTTTATTTATTTATTCATGAGAGACACAGAGACACAAACAGAGGGAGAAGCAGGCTCCCTGTGGGGAGCCCAATACGGGACTCAATCCCGGAACCCCAGGGTCATGACCTGAGCCAAAGGCAGATGCTCAACCGCTGAGCCACCCAGCTGCCCCCAAAGGGACTAGTTTAAAGATGCTCCCACTCGCCAAGTTGTGAAATGTAGGTGCTAAAAGGAAAAAAATGATTACCTCTCACTAAAATATACAACAGGCTGTGAAAAGCCTTGACTGCATATTGATACACAGAAAGTTCATATATGAGGCACCTGAGTGGCTTGGCCTGTTGAGCGTCCAACGGTTGGTTTCGGGTCAGGTCATGATCTCGTGGATCTGCGAGATTGAGCCCCATGTGGGGCTCCGTGCTTGGCGGGGAACCTGCTTGAGATTCTCTCTATATATATGTTTCCCCCTACTCATGCTCTAGAGAGAGCATGATTCTCTCTATATACCCTTCCCCTTACTCATGCTCGCTCTCTCTCTCTCAAATAAATAAATAAAACCTTTTTTTAAAAAGTTCAAAAAATAAAAAATAAAAATAAATAAAAATAAAAAAGTAGTTCACTTAAATTGTTTTTCTCTAAATGTTTCTCACCTGCACTCACACTGGTGTTAATTGTGTTGTTTCGTACTTATTTACTGTCATGATACATAATACAAGCAAATATATTAGTTTTGCCTAAATGTAAGTTAAAAATCCATCCATATGTGGATGCCATTAGAACGACTTCAAAGTAGTAAGAGGAGAACCAGAGACAAGCATATGATGAATTTAATATCCTTTAAAATAATGCAGAATTTCAACAGGCAGAAAAAAGAATAGAGGGATATGATATAGGAGAGATGGGAGCATGGTGTTTCAGAATTTCACCCGGTTAAATCAGATAGTGAAAGAAGAATTTTGTGGGGTTTTTCAGTAGGTAAGCCTGCAACTCTTAGACCTAGACGACACTGATAGTAAAGCTCACACTGAATGATGTGGACAGAGGGCCTGGAGCGGGGCTGCTACTGGCGTATAAAACCATCCAGTATGTACGGAGAGTACAAATGTCTTGTATACACGTGTGCCTCAGGTTCCCAGTCTGTCTTAGGATCAACAAGTAACAGTACCATGGCCTTGAGTCTTCAACCGAGAAACCCTATTAGATCTAAAACGGTAAATCTGTATCTCTTTAGTCATTTTCTAATCCTGAGAAGATGGAGTCAGTATAGACATAATACAACAAATCAGCCTCAGACTTCTGTAAAATTCAGCATAAGCAATATGTTTGATATTTAAAGTATTTTTTGGAACGCCTGTGTGGCTCTATCTGTTGAGCATCTGCCTTCAGCTCGGGTCCTGATCCCGGGGTGCTGGGATGGAGGCGTCAGACTCCCTGCTTAGAGGGGTGTCTGCTTCTCCCTCCCCCTCTGCAACTCCCCCTGCTTGTGCACTCTCTCTCACTCTTTCTCTAAAAAAAAATCTTTAAAAAAATAAAATATTATTTTAAGAGAATCTGACATATTAGGTTTTTGCCTCTGATTTTAAATGCATAATTAATTTTAAACTTATAATTGGAAGTTTAAGGGAATTTGACTTTTAAAATATTTGTATAGTTAAGAGAATTTGGCTTACCACATCTAAGTTTAATTTATTAGATTTCTGGGATCACATGTGGACTTACAAAGGGCTATTGAAATTGTAAATTTGCCCTGCCAGGCATGTAAAATATTTAAACAGAAAATTGAATTCATTGAGTTTATTAATGCAAGTGAAATGTTTCAGGAAATTTAATTAACTGAGCTTATAAATAGGATTGATTGTTTAAGGACACTGTCAAGTTTGAATTAAAGTAACTGTTCTTATTTTTTTAGGTTTATAAACAGACTATCAAGATTTGAAGGCTTACTGAAAACCAGATTTTCATGTCGTAATGTTGATAATTTGGACATTAATTTAAAACCAAAGTAGCCGGGACGCCTGGCTCAGTAGTTGAGCATCTGCCTTCAGCTCAGGGTGTGATCCCGGGGTCTTGGAATCGAGTCTCCTCGGGCTCCCTGCATGGAGCCTGCTTCTCCCTCTGCCTGTGTCTCTGCCTCTCTCTGTGTGTCTCTCATGAATAAATAAATTAAATATTTTTTAAAAATACAATAAAACCAAAGTAGCCATAAATATTTCCAAATATAAAGGTTCCCCTGAGTGGTCAGAAGCCTATGCTATGACATAGCATTCCCTCCCCATCGACCCCCTGACTACCTCCTACTACCTTTAGGCCTCAAGTCACTTCCTCAGGTCTTCCCCATCCCAACATCCTCACCTCTGAGCCTTCCCCATTGATTTCTCCTAGTGTCCCATCCTGTTCCTTTATAACACCACAATTTAAAATTTTACATTTATTTGTGAATTTGAGGTTAATATTTAAAGTCTATTTCCCCATGAAGCAGAAAGTTCCATGAAAACAGGGAGTGCTTCTATGCATTCCATGTTGTATCCCGAGTACCTAGAACAGCTAATACCTGGTATACCATAAGTGGACAAGAAATAAAGACTGAACAGATGAAGTGACTCGGGCTGAAGTAACTATGAAATGTGGTACATCTGTAACGGCAGGAAAACTGGAACTGCCCTTCCTGTTAGCTTCACAATTCTAGAATGCATCAAATATTTACTACGTCCTATGAGATGGGTATCATAGTTCCCAGTTTTCATATCATTTACAGGTTTGTAGATATTCGGTAATTTTGCCCAGAGCCCAATAATAGTCAATGGTGATATCAGGATTTGAACCCAGATTTCCCCAATTTCTAAGCCACATTCTAGTATTTCAGTGGAGGGCAGTAATTTCTACACAGTCATTAGAATGGTGCTTGGAACATAGAAGGGGTTGGTATATTTTAGTGATTTATATTGATAATTGTTATATATTTTAATGAACCCCTTTAAAAAGAAACAGAAATAAAAATTAATTTTCTCACCATTAGATAATTTTAAAAGATGACTTTTACAAACAGTCAAGAAAATGAGATGATTGTTCTAAATTCAGAGTAGTTTCATTCAAACTACCCAGTATATACAGTATGAACAAGCTCTTAAGGGCAGACTACAAGCGTCATCTAAACTAAGGAAGCAGCAAGCAAATTAATTGATAATGAAAGGAAAGAAAGTCACATTGTTGATTAGTGAGCAGAGAGACAGAGACACAGGCAGAGGGAGAAGCAGGCTCCCTACAGGGAGCCCGATGCGGGACTCGATCCCAGGACCCCGGGATCACGTCCTGAGCCGAAGGCAGACTCTCAACCACTGAGCCACCCGGGTGCCCCTTAATGGGAGATTTTCAAACCAAACTTCTCCTGACTGGCCTTCAGAGAGACCTACTGTGTTGTGCAGCTTCAGTTGGGGGCAGTGGTGAGCCCTCCAAGGGGTTTGCTGAAGTCACAGTAGATAATCGTGAAACTTTTCTCAGGATGGTGTGTTTGGCCACAAGGGCCTTCGTCCTACTGAGTGGAGACTAGAATTTTGGGGCAGCTGAGCTAAATGACTCAGGTCAAGAGAGGGGGCATGACAAGCTGAGTGCAGGAGAAAAAAAGGGTACTGAGGAGAGAGCTTTGGGACAAGGAAGAGAGTGGCTAATAGAGAGGCCTGGCAAAGTCACGTGGAGGTGTCATGTGTCTTGTAGTCATCCCTTTGCCCTCTTCAATAAAGTCTACATTATTCACCAATGCTTTTAAAGATTTATTTGAGAGAGAGAGGGCATGTGTGTGCATATGAGTCGGGGGCAGAGGGGAGGGAGAGAACCCCAAGCCGACTCCCGCTCAGGGCTCCATTGCACAACCTGTTAGATCATGACCTGAGCCGAAACCAAGAGTCAGGTGCTCAATGGCCTGAACCACGCAGGTGCCCCTCACCAACACTTTTAGAATTGGATTTGCTTTAGGGGAGGGATAGGCTGAGTCTGGCCTCCAGGTGGGGCTTAAATTAGTGGCAAGGGCAGACAGACACCTGGGGCTGGGAGGGAAGGGTTGGTTCTCATTCAATTGCTATTTGCGGCCTGGTTCTCTGAGAAGCACCTGTTTTAATGTTTCAACCCGCATCACCTACCTCCTCACGCTGGAAGCCCGTGCTAATTGCAAAGCAAGGACCTTAATTGGGGGAGGAGGCCCTCAAGTGCTCAAACAGCAAATCTGAATTTATAAGAGACTGGGCCCACTCCCAGCTCTGGCACTCTCTACATGCAAATTATTCTCACAACCTCAGTTTCTGATCAGCAGAATAAGGGGCTAGAGGAGGAACTGCTAAGATCTCCATCTTCCAAACCTATCATTGTAACCAAAAATAGGTTTCTAAGCAGAACCTAAGCAGGGGATGCTGAAGTGAACACGCCAAAAGCTCCCCCAACTAACTACAATCATTAGCCTACTTCTCATCTTCAGCTATTTCTAAAACATTTCAAAACATGAGCCAAAATACAGTTGTGTGCCTCTATTTGCTACTCGTTAAAAAACTAAGGTCATTTTTGAAATAATTATTTCTCCATTTAGGACATAGAGTCAAACAAGAGCAAATGAGTGTTTGGTTTCCATGTGGCACTGTTAAACCAAAAAAAAAAAAAAAAGTCATACAAAACAAAAACAAAAGGAAGTTTAAGAAAAAGAAGTTTCTGAATCAACCATCCAAAGGATCAAAGATCTCTTGAACTCAAGCAGCCAAATGTGTTACTTTCTTTTCCTTTTGTAGACCCACACCAGCTTCTCAAATGTGCCTGATTTTCATAGATTAACCATAGAGCATATTTCGGAGGAGACTTACTCATATATTTCTAAATTGGTTAGTTTGTTTTCAGTGACATAGTTGCTGGGGATTAAGCCTTCATTCCTACAACAAAAGACAAAGCAAAAATCAAAATGCTTGGCACATTTGCGGCATCACCGTGACAACAATCCTTTTAAAACCCCAAGGACATAGAGGGGAAGCAAATTCGTTTCACTGATTTAATTGCTAAAAAGAAAATAATAAAATAAAATAAAATAAAACAAAAGAAGCAAAGGGTTTTTCATTTCCATATTTAACCAGAATTTCTGTATGAGAAATACTAAGATTCCGACTTAAAATGGAAGTAATCTAGGATGTTTTGTGACGTCAAAATTTTTCAGAGAGGAAAGGTGGCACTTATGAGATCACCGAGGTGTCATAGTAACTGGATGAAAAAGCGCAGCAATTACAAAGACATCAACTTCTTTCTTTGTAATTGCTGCAAATAGAATAGATACTTGAATTTAGCCATGTCCCTGTTATAGCAAGGAGACGTGAACATGCTTTCCTGGGCACAGAGAGAAGTATTTCTCTAAGACAGATACCAAGCAGGGAAATTGCTGGGTCACTAAATATGTGCCTCCCTCAGGAGATGCAGCAAATTGCCACTGAAGGAAAATATATCAATTTACACACTGTCAGTAGGGCAGGGGTTTCTCTTTTTCTATACCTTCACCAATGAAATTTGAAATTATAAAATAACAAAAAGATCTCTGTGACATTACTTGTGAAATCCGAGCAAGTTTCGGGACAGTGCATAAATCATGGTAAGAATCAGGTAAGCTAAATCTGCAAACAATAACGTATATATCAATATGTGCATGAAAGCGCACTGAAGATTTTCCAGAAGAGTACTCACTCAGTAAGTGAGTAACGGTGCTTGGGTTTGGAGGCATTATTTATCATGGTTGCATATTATAAAAAACAATACTCACTTATTTTGAAATGAAAATAAATCAGTTTTTTTTTTAAGTCTGAGCAATACCAACATCCACCTGCAGGAGGACAAATTACATGGTCCTGAACTACTCATACCTCTTTGCCCACTCAACAGTCTCCATCATGTTAAGTCCAAACTAAAAACTGGTAAAAGAGACAAATCAGCAGGAAAATATAATTAAAGAAAGAGATATTTAATCTAGATCCTTCTAATACTTAGATACTTCTAATCTCCAAATCATCACAAAGAATAGAAATCAAATGCCAGTGTTCTCTCCCAGGCAGCCCAGATCCCCCTCAGGATTGTCTACCTCGGACTCCAGTCAGGTGCTACAATCTGTTGTCAACAATGACAATCTATTGCCCCTGACATGATGAAGTCTGTTTGCATCCCAAGGTCTTCTTTTACCTTTGGCAAGGACTGCAATGTTTACCTCCAAAACTAGTCACTGCAGAAATACGAGATACTCTTTCTGTTCCCATCTTAGAACTTAACCAAAAACAAACAAACAAACAAACAAAAAAAAAACCTGAATACTAAAAGTATCAATCAGAAAAAAAAAAACCCTACTATATGGTAGAAATTTTTTATCTCCAATTTACAAATAAAGAAGCAAAAACTCATTAAAAAATAGAACTACCGGGGATCCCTGGGTGGCTCAGCGGTTTAGTGTCTGCCTTTGGGCATGATCCTGGAGTCCTGGGATCGAGTCCCTTATCGGGCTCCCTGCATGGAGCCTGCTTCTCCCTCTGCCTGTGTCTCTGCCTCTCTCTGTGGGTCTCTCATGAATAAATAAATAAAATCTTTAAAAAGAATAGAACTACCATATGATCCTGCAATTCCACTTCTGCTATTTATCTAAAGAAAATGAAAACACTAACTCAAAAAGATGTGTGCACTCCCCATGCTCATTGCAGCATTGTTTATAGTAGCCAAGATATGGAAACAACTTAAGTGTCCATTGATGGATGAATGGATAAAAGATATATATATATATATATATATATATATATATATATATAATCAGAATATTAGTCCTAAAACAGGAGAAAATCTTGCTCTTTGCAACAACATGGTGGACCTCAAGGGCATTATGCTAAGGGGAATAAAATCAGACAAGATAAAGGCAAATACCGTATGATCTCATATATCGAATCTTAAAAATTTTTAATTAAAAAAAAATCCCAAGCTCAGAGATATAGAGCGCAGACTGGTGGTTGCCAGAGGCAGGGAGGGGAGGGTGGGTGAAATAGGTGAAGGGGGTCAAAGGTACAAAGTTTCAGATATAAAAGAAGTCATGGGGATGTCATGGACCCCAGGGTGACTAGAGTCAATGATACTATATTGCATAATCAAACATTTCTAAGAGAGTAAATTGTAAAAGTTGTCATCACAAGAAAAAACTTTTTGTGACTATGGGTAGTGATGGAAGTTGACTACACATATTGCGGTGATCGTTCCCTAATCTATATAAATAACAAATGATGATGCTGCACGCCTGAAACCAACATAATGTTACATGTCGGTTATACCTCAATTTAAAAAAAAAAGGAAGGAAGGAAGGAAAACTCAGGGTAAGTGGCTTGCGGAAGGACACACCACAGCAAGTAAGGGCACTGAGATGTGAAGCCAGGTGGGTGCAGCTCTGTGACTGCTGAAATCAGGGTGCTGGGATGCTCTCACACATGGGAGGTGTGGGGACAGCTTCTCCTCTGTGCAGGGGGAGGGATGACAAACTGAGAGAAGTCAGGCCAAAAAACAGATTTTATGCTTCAGGAGTCCTCAGAGGATAAAAGAAGGGGAATTTGGTGAGGACTGTGGCACCAGGCTTACCCCAAACGGTCTCTCGCCTTCCACCAGTGCGGGTTATACTTCTCCAGTATCAGGTACTCCTCTGCTCTCTTCAAAGCTAAATCACATGGCTCTCTGGGCACAAAATCATAGAGCGCCTTTACTTGGATCTTCTCTTCAGTGACCTCAGAGAGCGGGAGGGGAGGCAGAGGCTTGCGTTTGGATGGCTGCGTGTGGCCTCTGTTGGACTGCAAAAACCAAGGAGTGGTTTGTGGTACTGATGTTCTAGTAATCTGCACGAAAACAGACTAGGGACACAGTACATTTCCCTGCTGCCCCAATTCTCCCCTCACCCCACCCTGCCCCCCAGCTGCACCAAAGCAAAAACCAGAGTAGGATCAACATAGGAAATGACTACAAAACAGCTTTTGAATCCAGCAACACACTCATCATTTTGTATGTTTTCAAGATCGCAAATTGTCTTGCCAACATTGCATTGCATTCTTTAAAAAAAAAATTATAAAAATTTTTTAAAAATTTGAAAAGCTCTATGCTCAATATGGGTCTTGAACACATGACCCTGAGATCAAGAGTCTCAGGTTCCATGATGGAGCCAGCCAGGGGCCTCCTGGATGTTTTTTAAGCCACGATTCTTAAAATTTGATTTCACCCCAAGAGTTTCACTTTGTTTTATGGGTTTTTCTCTCTTGAGAAAAGAAAAAGATCCCTTCCCTTTCACAGGCTGCAAACTTGTGTTTGGGTTTATTGCGCTTCTTAAGAGCAATGTTGCCTCCAACACTGAACTGAAAATGAATCCTGGGTTCAAAGTGGCAGTAGCCAGAGTACATTTTCCCCCCATTCACTGTCTAGTTTCAAGTTCTGCCAAAACATCGCCCAGTCGGCTATTGAAACTGGTCTTTTTCTCTTGGGCTTTCCTCTAAGGCATTTATTCATGACGTGTTTATTAAGCACTTGTTACCAGCTGAGCAGGACACTAGATTCTGGGTTTGGCAGCAAACAGTACCCCGAGGAGGGCAGACCCTAAACACACAAGTCTCCTCCGTTCCTTCTCCCCCATCAAGACGATACTCACTCGCTTCTTACTTGGCAATTCCTTGAACCACAGCCTGCGACGCGGAGTGTATTTTTCTGAAAATTCTTCATCTTTGCTCAGGCTTATTTGTGTTCTTACTTGTCTGAGATTGAAAAACAACCATGTTACCAGCGATTATCTGAATTCAGGGTATCCACACATTCACCACATTGTCATGAATCTTGTCATGAAAGCTCCTGGTGTCTTTCTAACATTTTTCTTACTCAGGAGACCTTCCATGGGCAACTTACCTCCTGGAACTGCGTTTTCCTTATTGAGGAGCTAGAGGTGCTAAGAGCATGTGGAGTTGTTATGGGATAAAATTAGGAAAACATATGTCCCATGCCCACACCAAACCTGGTGCATATTGAAGTCATAAAATGATGATCATGATCATGGAAAACTCACTCGGCAGCATGCACAGTGTTGATCATTTTACATGCATGACCTCAAATGAGATATTTGATGGTATCCATTATTAGAAGGAGACATGGGGTCACGATTAAGAACATAAGTTTGAATCTCTGTTCTACCATTTCAAAGTGTGGCCTAGAGGAAGCAATTAGAACCTCTCTAGGCCTCTATTCCCTCGTCTGTAAAATGGAGATTATAAAAACCATAGGTGTTTTTGAGACTTTGAGACTTACTTGAGCTCAAAAATGCAAATCTTTGAGCACAGTCTTACACAGAGGACACTCCCATTAAATGCTAGCTGTCCCTATTATCACAGTACATTGCATTTATTCTATACAATCGTTTGCTAGGTGTCGAAGTGCAAGAGACCCTGATCACCTGGGGGAGACAGTCAAATGAATAAAACAGGATTCTCATCCTTAAAGTGTAAAAATTATTGAGCAGAACACAGATAGGCAAAGAGCACACACAAAATAATATATTAAATACAGACCCAAGCCACATGCTGGGGGAAGGCAATGGAAGGAGCAACTCATGCCAAAGGGATCCAGGATGGGTCGGGGAAGACTTACGAAATTTGACTTATGCCTTTAGATCAGTGGGCACTCGGCAGGGAGGACACAGGAGAGGGGTTTTCTGTGCAAAGGGAACAGGAGATCCAAAGAGACACGGAGACTCAATAGGCAATGAAGAAACTGGAGGAGTTGATTCCCAGGAAGTTGCCCTGGGAAGTAGACTTACCGCTTCTGCAAGGAACAACAGCAACAGCAACAGAAAATGGACTGGATGGTGTTATCTGAAAAGCAGATCATTGTGAGAGGCCTGTAAGTCCATGACATTGGGTAGATGAGGCTGGTGGTGCTACCCCAAAGGAGGAAATTCCCAAGGGAAATTCCCAAGGAGTGTTGGGAATTATGAAGCAGAGACTAGGTCTTGACTCTGCCCTCCTTTACTCCAGTGGCAGATGAGAAACTGTCACAAAAGCAAAAAGAAGTTACTGGCACCCTGGCTGGTGTGGTTTCCCTTCGCAGACTCCTCTAGCCGGGTCTGGTTATGCATTTCCTCTGTCTGTGAATGACAAGTGACCACTGTATTCGACTCTACCGTGATCAGAGCTAATGTCAGCTCATAAATGTGCCAAAATATAGGATTCCGAAAGCAATGTTCTCCCGGGAAATCTGTTAGGGATTTTGAGTTAGGTCCATCACATTTCTTTTAAAAAATATTTTTAAATATTTTGTGAGTTAATATGTTGTGTTCCTTAGGACCTGGATTTCCCAGCCAGCTCTTTCTCATAAAGACGGCTGACAATGACGCAGTAAGGACGCAGAGTAGGTTAGACACAAGTTCTGAGGTTAGACAGACCTAGCTTTGGATCCTCACAGTGCCGGTTACTATATCTGGGACGAGCCCCTTTACTTCTCTAAGTCTTTGTCTTCCTACCTGCAAAAATAGGACAATCAGACCTAACCTCTTCTCTTCTAAGAGAAGCCTGAGGAAGCAGAGGTTAATCTCTAACTTTGTGGGTTTGAGGAAGTTACTGAACTGTTCTGTGTTTAAGTTTCCTCGTCTGTAAAATGGGAATAATTGGATACTTAGCCCATAAGGCTACTGGGTGGATTAACTGAATCAATTCTTGGAAAGCACCTAGAACGATGCCAGGTATAGGGAGGAAGGTAATCGAGAAGACCTGTTATTCCTCTAGGGTTGATGAGAAGACTAAATTCAACATCATTTCGAACGTCCCAGGAATATAGAAGAGAGCTGCAAACAGAAGATGCGCAGTACAGTCTACTCCCCAGCATCCACCCTGTGCCCCCAGAACAGGGGATGCAATGGAGTTTCATCAGCCGTCATGTCAGCACCAGGTGATGTCAGTGTGGTCATACTGCCATCTGAAGCTTAGTGCATTAACCATTAGGATACTTTAAGTAAGGTTAAGGGGCCCCTGAGGGGCTTAGTGGTTGAACATCTGCTTCGGCTCAGGTCGTGACCTGGGGTCCTGGGGTCAAGTCCCAGGAGCCTGCTTCTCCCTCTGCCTGTGTCTCTGCCTCTCTCTCTGTGTCTCTCATGAATAAATAAATAAATAATCTTAAAAAAAAAAAGTAAGGTAGGGAAGGAAATAAAGAGAAAAGAAGAGTACATAAAACATAGCTGCTACAATCCCCACATCTACAGCTGTCCCGAGTCCTAAGCTGGTGATCACAGATGCCTCTGTCACTATCCAGCCTATGTTCCCCTTTGCCTTTGCCAACAAAGGTAAAGAAGAAGGTGCTCTATCTGATAGAATAATGTGTGTTCCTGTGGGATCCTTGTTTTTGGTCTTGTTTTCATGAGGCTTTTATAATTTTCCACTGGCTGGAACTATTTTGAATATTTGGAAATACAGCTGGTAAATTCTTGGAGCTCCAAAGTCCTCTTTGTCCTCTCTGTGAAGAACCAACCCAGTTCCTTCCTGGTAATCAGGATACTCATCCCAGCTGCACTGACCCCTTTCTGGTCCTATCAATTCAATGATACAGGAATCTCAAAATTGCCAGAGGGCAATCTCAACTTCCAGTATTCCCTAAGAAAGGGATCCTTCTCCAAACCCACTGAACCCAAGGTCACAGATAAAAAGATCAAGAGTATTCCAGTGGGTTATTAGATGAAATGGTGAGGGGGCCACTCCTTAGTTCCCCAACTCACAAGTGCTAGCTACACATTTGCTGCTGGTTTAAGACATTTATGTATGTGGGGGCACCTGGGTGGCTCAGTGGGCGATCCCGGGGTCCTGGGATTGAGTCCCACATCTGAGTCTCTGTTCAGTGGGAGACTGCTTCTCCCTCTGCCTATGTCTCTGCCTCTCTCTCTCCACCTCTCTCTGTGTGTCTCTCATTAAAAAAAATGAATAAATGAATGAATAAATTAATAAAAAATTTTAAAGAGACATTTATTGCATCCTATAGGATACCACTCCAACAGTGCAAGATGTTACCTCCTAGCTGTTATAGTAATAACCGGGCCTTTAGCAGACTCTCTGTCCTCTATCCTGTTAAGCCAACTGCTTCTAAATTATGCAACATCATGGTTAAGAGTATTCAGAGAACCACCGAAGAACAAATAAAACTGAGAAAAGGCTAACAGAATGGATCCTCGTGTAGACTTCTGATTTTTATCTTCCCATTCTGTCCCCATTCCAAGGGTTTCAGCCATACCTCTCCCCGGATCTTGTCACAAATCCCCTAACCTTGTACTTTCCATGTTCGCAACTAGCAAACCAGCTTTTGTTTTTTTTTTTTGCCATTGCCCAATAGTTGTCATAGATCAGTATCTCAGACTATCTTTTCCTAACGAAGTATAAACAAACTAAGGCATGTTTTGAAGTGCTGGGAAGATTTTATTTCAGCACCGTCTTCCAGGAGACCTATGAATGTGGCGTAGCACAATGGCTGTTTATTTCCCATTCACATGTGCTCAGGATGCAGATCTGTCTACACATCAGGCTTGTTGAGGAACTCCTCTTGCAGCCTCGCATGTGAGTTGAAGAAGCAGAAAGAACAGGTACTATGTGAAGATAAGTCACCTGCTCAAGAACTATCTTGAGCCCTCTGGATCTCCTGGGGCCCACTTTCAAATATACTGCTTCCCTATTGTAACGGATTACTGCTGTTCGTGGCTAATTTAATGGTTCATTGAATCAGATAACATTCTGTTTATGATAGGCGGTTTGAATCCCATAAATGTTTCATGATCCGTGGTTGACCATTCAGTCTTCACCAGTAGCAAGCCAGCAGCTACTTTTCAAATTAAAAATAACTGTCAGCACAGTGTCAAGGCATTACTCCTAATTCCTGGGGATTGTGCTATGATTTTCATCCTGAGACTTTACAGAAGCTCCACACAGCTAGCGTTTTTGCCCTTCATTCCAGGCTGCGACCAATGATAATTCCAGTAATTGACAATTGAGTTATTTTCCCCAACAATGAGGTTTCCTCTAAATATATGACCAAATAAATCTGAGATCCAATTTTGACTCGTTTTCCTGGGGCCACTTCTGATGCCAATTACTGTATCAGTCAGGGATCCAATATGACACATGACATATTTAAATTAGAATAATTTTTAAAGGGTTCATACACAAAGGAAGGTGTGTTCATGCACATCGACAAAGGTGTCGATGGGGGTAAGGGAACCACAAAGGATTATAGGAAACTGGGTCTAACAGTAGTGGAATTGTCACCATCCCTTGGTCCAAAGAAGACCAGGAAAGTGAGAGAGAGTGAAGTAGATCCAAGACCTCTTTGATAGGAGCAATGATCTGTCAGTGAGGGACATGGCCAACTCAAGGCAGCCTCACCATAACTTCCTTCCAGGACTCCCCATTAGTGTAATCCAACCAGAAGCCAGGGCTTGGAAGCATGTTGATCCAACCTTTCCAAATTAAGTTCTCCAGGTGGAGAAGAAGGAATACCAAGAGACTGGGCTCATTGAGCCATCTTGGAAGCTAGCCACATATTTAATCCCTGTGGATCATCTTTCCAGGGTAATAGGATAGAAAAGAATAAAGATACTTAACACTGTTATAAGTGTATGTTAGCTCCATTTCCTTTCACAGAATTTGACCTTCCGAATCCAGATCCATGCGTTAGTTACTTGCCTTTCTCTAATTTGGGCTACAGAAACAGTGGTGGTCCAGTGGTAAATGTCTCATTTCACCGTGGAGACATAGTTTCAGTGCAAGCCCAGATAAAGACTCATCTCTCCTCCCACTGCTGGCTTATCACTCATCCCTGACTTCATAACTTTCTCACTTCTTTTGCCTGCACCCAGAAATCACCCATTTTCTAAGGATCATTCCAAGGTTTCTAGACATGAAAATAAAAAAAAAATTACTGAGCCCCCCAAATCTGCATTATGTTGTGTATTATTAGGTTTGGGGATTTCAACTGCTTTTGTCAATTTTCTGGTAGTGTCTGCCAAATGGCCAGATGACCAAAACGCTCCAGAAAAAGAGGGTACATTAGCCCTAAGTGGCTCTATTTTGGCGGGACTGTGTCTAATTTACATTCTGGTCAGTTGATCCCAGTATTGTTTTAGAGCCCCGTATATAGATCTGTATCTAGCCAGGCCAAGAGATGCAAAGTCAAATGTAGGTTACACAAATGAGTGAAGTGGGTCAGAGTATGGTTTAGAATGTGGCAAAAATCGCCTCTCGGCCTCTTGTCTAAGATCAAGTATAGAATGTGGCAAAAACACTGTGGCCTCACATAGGGGTATTCACATTCAAAGTTTTAAAAAATACTTCTCCCTTCATCTTTCGATGGACACTTGAGGCTCCTTCCACAGTTTGGCTATTGTGGACATGGCTGCTAGAAACATCGGGGTGAATGGATAAAAAAGATGTGGTTTATGTATACAATGGAATATTCCTCAGCCATTAGAAACGACAAATACCCACCATTTGCTTCAACGTGGATGGAACTGGAGGGTATTATGCTGAGTGAAGTAAGTCAATCGGAGAAGGACAAACAGTGTATGTTCTCATTCATTTGGGGAATATGAATAATGAATAATTATGAATTCATAATAATAATATGAATAATAGTGAAATAGTGAAAGGGAATATAAGGGAAGGGAGAAGAAATGTGTGGGAAATATCAGAAAGGGAGACAGAACATAAAGACTCCTAACTCTGGGAAACGAACTAAGGGTGGTGGAAGGGGAGGAGGGTGGGGGTGGGGGTGACTGGGTGACGGGCACTGAGGGGGACACTTGATGGGATGAGCACTGGGTGTTATTCTGTATGTTGGTAAATTGAACACCAATAAAA